GCGGGGCTGTGGGGGCGGGGCCGCTGTGGTCCCCGCTGAGGGAACCGCTGAGGGAGTGGGGGCTTGGGGGGCGCGTTTTGTTTCGAACCAACAAAAGAGCCCTGAGAGCGGCTGTTCCAACTTCTTGACTTGCGACCAGGTTGCAGAATTAAAATGAAAGATTCCCGGGAGCCCGTACCCCGTGCTGTTTGTCCCTGGCTTGACTGAATACAGCAGCGATAACGATGAAGTGCCCTGAGCCGAAGGACCCCGGACCCGTCTGGATTCTCCGTCACTGTGCTTCAGCGGACACGGGCACAGCAACACGAGCCATTTCCAATGGAAAAATAAAACATGTTTAGTCCTCTGCAAGAAACGGTTAAAAATAAATCATTGCCTCCCTTTGCAAACACTTTTACAGCGAATTTTGGAGTTCAACAATTCAGTTAACTTTGGTCCTGTTTTCTGTTGAGGGGTGCAAATCGTCAAAACTGTCGAAGCTGTGCACTCCTCAGGCAGAGGGACCCAGCCTGAGGCTGCTCAGCACCACAATCGTCCCCACTCCCGTTCTTTGTTTTTGTGTATATCCCCTCTTTCTACTCCCAAATTCTACTTTACTGCTCTCATCCCCTCCCAGGAAATAGCCCACACTCTCCTAACTTCTTCTCCCTACTAACTCCAGTTTTTCGGATTTTGTATTCTGTTTGGTATTTATGATAATAGATGACCTGAAAGTACCAAGTTCTGCCACACTAATATCTCCTTTTTTTTTTTTTTTTTTTTTTTTTTTTTTTGTTTTGGTAGGTGTGCCAACTGCTTACACACTTCTTGATTGCTGTAGGATAACATGAGGACAGTGTTGGAGTACCCCAGGTGAGGAGGAAAGGAAGTCTTTTCAGTTTTTGTGCAATGTGATCAGGACCAAATTGCTAAAATAAAGTATATAAAGAGACTTGTGAGGTTTACTGTATGGACTATCAAAAAAATCCAGGACCAAGTTCTATAATCTTCAGTGGGCCTCCAGACTGAGTCTATATAGACTCATGAAGGCACATTGAAGAGCAAATCCCAGTGCCCTGGACAGCTGCTGCAAACCAGCTCATGTCCTTGCACCTCGGGTGTTCTGGTCTGTGGTGCAGCTTGAAGCAAAGTCTAGAACAGATGCCCGTGACAAACTACACCAAGTCTCCAACTGCCTTTTCAGCCATACTCAAATTTTCCTGGGAAAATAATGTSTAGTTCACTCAAGACTAAGAAGCAGATTGGTTGTAGAGTGGATGAAAGGAACAAAATCCTGGACTAGTATTAATACTAGTATTAATAGTATTAGGAGCATGCCAAGGGATCAAGTATACCAAAGACAAGTCAGCAGCATCATGCAGTTAGTTACCAACAGCAGGAGGGAAGTAYCCATGGAAAGCAAAACACTGCTAAACAGAAGGTTAAAGGACAAGGGATCATGTAACCATGTCCAATATTCTCCCTGTAAGATGCATATGGGGAAAGGCAGGCAGAGAAAATCAGCATTAGAAAATAACGGGATTTGCCTTTATTAGATACAAGGAAACCATTGGGGGCACTCTAATTTACCTGTCTCCTTTACCTAAACCAAAACTGAAGAAAGGTGTTAGGTTTGCAACTAGGGGAAGCAAATTTCCACAAGACATTATAAAGTAAAACTTGAGGGAACGAGTATGCACTATGCCAATTCCACACATGAAATAAATACATCTTCTTCCTTGTAATATACTTTTGCTGCACCATTAGTCTGGAAGCGTTACCCCAAATTCCAGGTTCTTTGCTTCTCCAGACCCTAAAAGGTCTCCAGACCCTAAAGCATTCCATAAATACGTCCTCTGATCCTATTCCTTCATCTACACAAGGATGTGGTTTGGATGAATGAACTCAGTTTGCTAAATGATTCATACTACTTYGTATTTTCCTTTCCAATTCACTTTTGTCAACCAATTCACATGTCAACCACAAATCTTAATTGTTTCCAGAWCATTTASAAAAMTGTTCAACAGAAATAATCCTCACCGAGCCTCCCGGAAACACTCTTTTCATTCCTCATCCCAGTCTCCATTTAAAACCTGTCAGTCAGATATTATGTGACTTATTGATCCTGTGTAGCTACTGTTAGAATCAAACACCTTGCTGGTTTTTCTAKGCCTACTCAGCACAAACCCACTCTGACTGCTCCTTAGTATTAGCTTTCCTTCTTATAAGAGCATCTTGTACAAGCCTTTTTGTATTAGTCTGATTTGGACAGATCAGAGGAACAGCAGCTGTCAGAAGGATCCTTTCTCCCAAGCATTCATACTGATCATTTTAAAAATTCACATTTTCTTCCCTCCTTCCAGTGCAGGACCTTATTCACCAGCCTGAAATTTCATCAAAGCTTTTAGCACTAGTGAGGAGTTCTTAGGCCAGCTTTTTTGGGATTTAGCATTGGGAAATGGTACCATTTCAAAGCATGAGGCATACATATTAGCAGAAACCATTTGACTGGAAATAGCTGGCCCATGACTGATGTTACAGCAAGGAGAGAATTGCCCGCCAGTCAGTCACACAGGTGTAGTTCCCCAAGGCTCCCTATTTCCCTTTTTTAAAATGGGGGATATTTTTCAGACAGTGAAAACTTCACCGGAGTGCCACAACTTTTCAAATTGATGAATTGTGCTTAGCCACTTCCTCTGTCAGTTCCCTCAGGACCCATGGATTCATTTCAACAGTCCCATGGGCTTGTGCACCTTCAATTTCCATGGATGGTCTTGAACTTGATCTCCTACAGCAGATGGTTCTTCATTCTTCCAGTCCCTCCCTCTGCCTTCTGTGACTCAAGCAGTGTGGTTGGAGCACTTGCCAGTGAAGACMGAAGCAAAAGTCTTTGAATACCTGAGCCTCCTGCATGTCCCAGTAAAACACACCTGTTTTGTTCCAGACCACTTTTTTTTTCTTAATCTTCATTTTATCACTGATGTACCATTAGAAGCTTTTCTTATTGCTCTTGATATCACAGGACAAATTTAATCCCATCAGTGCTTTAGCATTCCTAACCTGATTTTTGTCTGCTTGAAGACTCTCTCTGTACTCCTCCCAGGCTAACTGTCCTCACTTCCACCTTTTGTAGTTTTCCTTTTTCTGTTTCAGTTTGTCCAAGCCTCGTGGTGTTTCTGCTTGACTTCTTCTTTGTTGGTTGCTTCTCRTCCTTGTCATTGCCCCAAGGATCTCAAACTCCACCATTTCATGGTCTGTGCAGCCCAGGCTGCCCTTGAGCTTCACATTCCCCACTGGCCTGTCCTTGTTGGTGAGAATAAGGTGGCATAGCTCCTCTCCTCATTGTCTCCTCTATCACTTGGAGAGGGAAGTTGACATCAGTGTATTCCATGAACCTCCTAGATTGCCTGTGCCATGCCAGGTTCTCTCCCCAGCAGATGTCAGGGTGGTTGAATTCCCCTACTGAATTCCTGCTAGGGGTTGTAAACCCAAGGTCTTTCCTATTTTTCTGTAGAAGGTCTCATGGGGTCATCTTCCTGGTCAGGTAGCCTGTAGCAGACCCCCAAGCCCTCCATTTAATCTTGACTCCTAAACTCTTAGTCAGTTCCTCTTTCATCCCCAGGTGGGAGCTCCATGCAATCCTGCTGCTCATTGACACAGAGAGCAACACTGTCTCTCTTGTCCCCCATCCGTATCCTTCCATTCCAACCCTCCAGTCACAACAGATCTCCCTGTTGCTAATAAGATCACAGCCCTGCAGGCACATGTACAGCTCTAACTGAAATACTTCAGATGCCTTTGCATTTTTCACAGGGTGAAGGCTGGAACCGAGAGGAGTGGGGGGTTGGCCCAGGACCTGACCTTCCCTTCGGGGATCCTCTGACACAGCAAACGGGAGAGTTCCTGGCTCGGAGAGGCCCCAGCACAAGGAGGTCACTGCAGCCCTGGAGAGCTCCAAGGGTCTCACTGTTTAKAGGACCACAAGAGAAGGGCTTTAGTCACAAAAATGTTTCATCCTGGCCCCATCTCGAGTCAGAAACTTTCTTTGAAAGTGGGAGAAAAATGAAGTTATGCCATTCGGGAAAAAAAAAAGTTTCCAAGGCTGCTCATAAAAACAACAAGCAGGTCACTTGACCACACCAKTGGCTCCTGGAGCAGTGCTTCTGATAAGCTCAAGAGGAGCCAAGCCCAAGGGCTGTTTGTCGAGGCCAAGGCCTAATGAGCATTTTCCAGATGATGGTGCAGCCTGGGGAGGGATGATGCACCACCACACATTAGCATCCAGCTGGTAAGAGTGGGATAGACTGAGGTTCCCCTCCCCTAAAGACTTTAACTGCATTCAGTGAGGAACAGCTGGATGTTCATCCTTGGCATTACTTCTTTCTCACATGGGAAAAGGTATCTCCACTATACATTATTCTTCATCTTGTCCTATAAACATTTCAAACAAATACCTGTTATTAGTATGAATGAGTTTCCCAAACCTATACATGTAGAATTTTAATTTCAAATCTTATCATATAAGAGGTGGTCAGAATCCTCAAGATTGGGGGTCACTTTTTTCAAAATAAYCACAATTTAAGCTATTTGAGTTTAAAAAAAAATTAGCTCAGATCAGGCATTGAGTTTGGGAAGAATGATTCTTCAAAAGTCAAATGTCAACTCGATGGCAGCGAACGTCTAACAGTCTTCATAGAAAAGGCAGAAGCTTGTCTTTGTTGCCTAATGAAAGCTGCAATTTAGCAACTTAATGATTGTCCTGCATAGTTCACCTAGAAAGATGGATTTGAAAAGACTGACAGTAGCCAAGTTTAATTCTTATCTGATATTTTTTATCATTCTCAAAACACACAAAACAATTCATAAACATTTATTTCTATAACATGCTGGGAAAGCATGCTATCACATGCTTAACCCAGAAAATATATATGGCCCAAGGATGAAAAAGAGTACATACAACACCACTAAAACCTATTTATGCATATGGTAGTTTTAAAAATGTTGTGATGAAATATAAGGTGCCAGCACTGCAACATGAAAACTGCTAAAGCTARTAATTTCAAATAAAAGCTGAGGATTAGGTTTGCATTACAAACAACTAAATTGTCCTAAGGAACAAAAAATGTACAAGCTTTTGTAACACAATCCATCTTGTGAGATTCACCTTCAGCATTTACATGATACTGTTGATCCTCGAGGTAGATTCCATCCCAAACTGAAGGTGTACCTACTGTCTATGGGTGCATCAAATTCAGCAGCTAACACAGCATCCATCAATCAACACAATTAWTTTGAGAGCTCTTTGTTTACGCACTGAAACAAAGGCACTTTTCMATACAGGGTTCAGTTTCTTACTGGAAAGATTACCAAAGTAAGAAAGGAGAAACACTGATACAAATTAATCTCATCAAACACTTTTTAACAGATACTTCCCCCACCATGTGCAGGAAATGGATTCCCATGCGAATCTGTAGTCACAGCGTACAATATGTGAGACAAAGAAAACTTCAGCGCCAGGTGTTCTTATCTCCAGACTAAATATACAGGCTGACCCAAGCACAACTCCCTGCAGTAAGAGAAACCAAAGGCCCACAGGCAAACACAGTAACAGCAAAGATCTCATGACAAAGGGAGAAAACAAACAAGAAACCCCCTCCCCCAAAATCCAGACTGCCTCAAGACATTGCATTGCATCTGCTCTCCCCAACCACCTCTACTGCTCATGCTCCCACCAAACTGGTGCTGCTGCTGAAGCTGACATATTCTGCCTATCTCCCCCACAAGTCATTCAAATTTTCTTTCCTCACAGAAAAAAATAACATTTTGGAAAAAAAAAAAAACCGTGGAGGGGACAGCAGAGTGCATCACGATTGTATCATAAACTCTGGAACACAGAAGAATCTTTTGGATGAATGCACACACACACACACACACACAAAAGATGCACACACAAAAACCCAAGGAAAATGAGCTAGAAATACTCAATTTCAGCAAAAATTTGTTCTTAACTGCACATACAACTTATCTGTGAAGGCACATAGCCACACTGAGGCATCCCTTTCCTCTAGAGATCCAAGTGACATCCTATCTGAGAATTTCTTGCAAAACAAGGCATTTGAGAGGCAAAACCCAGCTGATATTGCAGGACACCCATCTCAAACAGAAAAAATTGGCAACAGAACAATTGGTGCAAACACAACAGTGACTTGGGATAACTTACATTGAGARGCAAACTCTTGCCAGGATTCACTGACCTGGGAGTAGCATATTGATTTAATGTTCTCATTAGAAAATACATTTTTGAATAAATTACATTTTAGCATAAATTTCTGTATGTCAGTAGAAACACAATGGGTGTTGGATCAGCTTGCCTTTCTCCGTGATAAAGACTAGCTTCATTTTTGGCTTCTTGGATTTTGTGATCTGAAAGGGTAGTTCTCCAGCCAAATTCCAAGTGTCAGAAAACCAAAGTGCTGCATAATTTGCTCCACACTGTACAGGAAAATGCATTTTAATTTACATCTAGTCCATGGATAGCAATGTTTTCTCAGTGCTGAGTCCATTTAATGCTTTTGAGGTCAATTCCATCCTGCACCATTTCCCAGAGAGGGCTGCAAAGAAAAGGAGAAAAATGAAGGCTAGCTGAAATGCACAGGACATCGTCAACAATAATTAAACAGATAATTTTATCAATGACACAAGGAGTTAGGAAATATCTATCTGCCTGTCTTGCCCTTCTGAAGGTCAGTGAGCTTCAGATGATCAACCCTCAACTGTGTCCTCAACCCAAAATACAAGAGGTGAGAGAGCATGTGCTCCATCTCATTTCCTGCACCCACTTTCAGCATAAGGCACTGGTGTCTCTGAGACTGAACCCTTGCATTTTCACTGYCCAGACAAGTCATGAGTCTTTCAGTTTCACTAGAACAAAATAACTTATCAATACATTAACCCAGTAATACCTTCTCTGGCTTAAAACCTCCTAGGTACTGCCCTATGTACCTGCCCTACTCATATTCTTTCTCCAGCACAGRCAAGATCTGGCAAAAGGTTTGGTATCAGGTTTGTTTCCTTAGAAATTTGTCACTAATGTTAAAATCAGGCTCCCAGCCACGTGGGGGCACAGTTTGTTGATATAGAGAAACACCACCAGATTTTGGAACCAAACCATTATTTTCAACTAAATAAATGCAACTCTTCCCATGATTATACACCTATAAAGTCTTTGCATTCAATGAGACAATGTCTCACCTCATTTCCCTCAGCCTTTTCACATGCTGTATACACTTCTGCACTGTATAGTCCACTTCTTCTTCTGTAGTGAAACGACCAATGCCAAACCTAAACCAAAAGAAAAGCATTAATTGAATAACATGCATATGAGGGGTGGAACAAATCTACCACCTACTTTCATGAGGAATGAAAAATATTTGGAAGCATTAGGACAGACCASTCCACACACCTTATAGATGAGTGAGCCAAATCTTCATCTGTTCCGATTGCCCGCAAAACATAGGAAGGCTCCAGAGAGGCTGATGTGCAAGCACTGGGAAAGGGAAGGCAGGGAAATGTCAGACTTTTGCCTCCTCTCCTCTAACAAAGAACAGGTCACTTACCTCTTTACAACAGCCTGTATCGGCTTCCCCGGCCTCCTAGAAACCACAAGTGAATACAAGCAAGTAGAGTGATATTTCTGCTACTGAAGAAAAAAGAATACAAGGGGCAGACATTAACAAAAAATGAGAGTAATAGATTAGAAGCATAAGGAAAGGAGAGAGAATACAGAGAATACACAAATAAACGCAATGCCACATAGAGGGAGCAGAAATGCAGATTATGAGTTGCAGTAGAGGCTCTGAAAAAAAGACAAAGGAGCCAAGACAGCAAGACAGACCTATCCAGAGAACATTACACACCAGGAACATAAAAGGAAAAAAAAATTCACAAGCTGCTGTTTGGCAGCAGAACAAAAAGAACAAATAAATGAAAAACAGTGCACAGCGGGATCCAGAGCAAGATTATTACAGTTGTCAATGGAGAGAGCTCTGACCTTGCAGCAGCATACAGAACTGGGTACATGCTGTGACTCAGTTTTYACAGGTAGCAACATGCAGTGCCAATTGGAGAGCTCCCCAGTGCACAAAGCAGAAAATCAGAAGAGATCTTCACATTACAGAAGTGTTTGGCTTTGGAGATAGTCATGTGGAGACTTGTTCCTCCTGTTCATAGTGCCAACCACTTTCTAATTAGGATAWGATGACCGCTTTGTTCTCAAAGGTGAGGGAAGGAGGGGGGGCATCCTTACACTTCATTTCTTCATAAACATCAGGTTTKTCTTGGTAACAGAAACATTACTCGCCACTCCTGTAGTCAGGAGAGCTCCATAAAAGCACAGGCAATTTTCTTTCTTGCTTTTGGATTTAACACAGGAGCTATAAACTGATTTAATTCAGATACAARTCCAACCTCACTAATTGCAGTGAAATCCTGCTGAAGGACAGAAGCTGCTCAAATGCTGGTAGCCTCTAGAATGCAAGTGTCACCGTACAAGTCAAGCCTACTCAGATCCCAGGTAACCAGTCTGCAAGACTAGTAGGTAGGAATTCCAGAGTAAGTTTTTGTGGGTTTGTGGGGGTCTTTTTGTTAGGATTTTTTTTTTTTGGTATTTCTTTTTTGTCTTTTTGTTTTCTTTTGTTTTGTTTGTTTGTTTGTTATTGTTGGTTTTTGTTTGATTTTGTTTGTGGTTTTGTTTGTTGTTTTTTTCTTCCAGGATAAGTAAATTTGATCTTCAGTTGAAATGTGCCAGTTAAACACCACCTTAGAATGCCAGGCTGATTCATTAATTGAATATGCAAACACAGGGCACAGAGGAGATTACTCCTTAGCTTTTACCCTCATTAGCAGATGCTATTTTCTCTCCAAAATATACTATACTGCCATCTCTACCATACATTCCACCTACCTTCCTGAAGACAGAGCCACATCTTTCAGAGCCATCAGAAGACTCTCTCCTTCCACATATGCAAAAGATAAGTTGATGCATCCTACATACAAATAAATGAAATAGAAAAAAAAAATCCATCAGCTAAAATATCAGGCAAATTGTCCCCTGCAAGTCAGGATTTGCATCCTGTGCTCAAGTGTATTATTCAGACATAGCCATTAACACCAAGGAGCCAGACAGTACTGACAGGCTCAGAATTTTGTCTGAGTTACCTGGATAGCGMTGCTCTCGATCTCCATTCATCACCACATCAGGAACTTCACTCATTATTTTTGTAACCAGTCGTTCTGCCAGTTGTGAGATTCGCTTATGGTCATACTAGCAGAGAAACCAGAAATGACACAAATAATAAACAGTGTACAGTCTGACCTCACTCAAACTGCTTTRTGTCATCAGCTACAAGCAGACTTAAGCAACTGTTTTTGGCCAGACAAGGATAAGAACACAGCTGAAACTYAAACTTTCAAACTTTGTCTGCTCTAGACACTGTTTCAAAAGAGAATAACCACTTGGTTCTTAGTTAGCTCAGCCTTCAAAAATATTTCACACTATTCAGAAAGATCTACATACACAACTGCCAAACTGACTTTTATAAAAGCACTGAGTTCTTTGTGTTTAAAGACAAGTTAGGCAATGCAGAAGATGAAGCATTTTGCACCACAAGAAAGGGCACCTATTACAGCAAGTGCCTCTGATTTCCCAGGAGCTCTCTAACCATACCACAGAAAGACATGACCTTGCAAATTACTATAAACTCAGCTTTTATAGTCAGTAACCTGCATGGTGAGAACTGCCCAGTGCAGTGTCTTGTTCTAGACTGAAAATGAGGTGACTTATACCAAGAAAGCAATAAGGTCTGGGGTCAGCTTCGGCACACACAACCAGCCATGTGCACACGTGCAATTCATGATTGTTAACATCTGAAAAAAGAAAACAAGTCTAGCTCCAACACCAGTTGGTTTTAAAATGCCACAATGCTGCTTGGCAAGGAGAAGAATCCAGATCTGAGGCTTGTGCAGAATTCAGACTCTGCAGGCTCTCTAGCCTCAACTTCCATAACCACACAGCTCACATGGTGGAATTCTGCCTGTCTCCTGGGAAGAAGACTGATCCTTTTTGTGCAGGTATCKGGCCTATACATCCCATTGTCATGGTAAGGATTTTTACATTCCAGCTGTAAGGAAGGCATTGGTGCTCATGAACAAATGTAGCAGCACACAGAGGCTCAGACACCACACCTAGCAAACAAACTTTACTGTCTGAGCTAGGAAAAAAGAAAATAAATTCTTAGTTGCAAAGCTGCAGTAAACTTGAACTTTTACTTAACAGGCACAATACATATAATAAGAGACTGGAAAGTCTTATTTTGTCAAGGTACATTACATAAACACAACATTCATTTCAAAGATCTGCTAATACACATATGCATAATGGACAWGTCAAAGCAAGCACATAAAGCCGTATTTCACTAAATCTGTCAGTTGTGGCCTGGTAAAAAACCATTACTCAGATGACTTCAAGAAAAAAAGAAACTCTAGAAAGAACTTACAATTATACAAAAACATCCCGTAAGTTCTCAAAACATTCACTTAATGCTAAAACATGAGAATCAAATTTAATTCAGTTACCAGGACACAAAAAGACCTAAGGAATCCAAGACCTAAATGGTGCTGTTATACTATTTTCTGGAACCCAGGACAAATATCTTGTGGCACATACCTCCATCTCTTCCCGGGCCACTTCACACGCTGCCCCCAGTCCCACTGCYAGAGGTGTGGGCACAGTTCCAGAGCGCAGTCCTCTCTCCTGGCCTCCACCACTCTGCAGGGGCTCCAGCCTGACGCGTGGCCGGCGGCGAACATAGAGAGCACCAACCCCTTGGAAACAAGGACAGCAGCTCTAACATGTGCCCAGAGTTCTGAAATTAYGAACAGGTGCTCCAAACTTTGGTAATATTTCTTATTTCCACAACAAACACACATGTGGACTCTTAACTGGAGAAAAATAAAGCGACTAAGTTCAGAATTATTTTCTAGGAAATGGTGTTTGTTCCCAGTGTTCCTGTTCAGGCTCGCAGAGCTTCAGCAGTGAGAGCTCATCTTCTTCCACTGTGCTTCAGCCACCCAAGGACTCAGCATTTCCCTTCCTTCCCACAATTCCTGTACACACCTGAAGTTCATCCCTTTGCACTGAAGTTTTTATGTGCAGRTATTTCATTCACTGACATTCCCTTACTGACTTCCAAATCCTTTCCCTGGATTACTAGGCCAGAACCAGTCCCTGGAGTCCACTCCCTTGCTTCTCATTAGGAAGACTCACCAGTGGCAGCAATTTCACTGAGTGGATTTGATGAACCAGTTTTGACAGCCAGTCAATTTAACGCTCTACTCTCCTCACCCAGAAACCAGATTTTCATCTCTTCAAGGGCCCTGGTACACTTAAAGAGTGACTGGCACTACAGGAAGAACAGTTGCAACTTCCAGGCATAACAAATAGTGAAAAATTACATCTGTCATCTGTCCAAAGTCACTGGTTTAAAATTTAGTCCTTGTCCAGAGATAATGTCTTAAATAGGAATTCTGTCTTTTGTTTCCTATTAGCACATAGCATACAGGAAATCTGATTTCTGGCTTTTTAACACCCACTGTTACAAACTAAATGGACCATGACAATARTAACAGCTGGATTTCTTAGTATTTYGTGAGAAAATGCATAGCTGGACATTAAACCCCATTCTGCAAAGAAAATGCACAAATGGAGCTMAAGTCACTGGAAGTACAAAACAACGAAAATCACCATCAGTTACCTTTGGTCTCCTTGTTGTAATTCACACTTGGGTCTAAACTTAAACTCTACAACCAAGTGATTTCATTTCAATCATTTCAGCATCAGCTCTGCTTCACACCAAGCAGATGACTCCTGAAAACCCCACTGCTGTAATGCTGCCACCATTATACAACACCATTTCTTTCTTCAGTGAAGTTACCTCAACCCATGCAGCACTGAAGATCCACTTACTGCAGCTCTACACTGACAGCAGTGCCTGACCTACTCCAAAGTCTGTCCACCACCACTCAGAACAGTTTTCTACAGTTTAAGTAACTGACATTATGACAAATGGGTTTGACTTCATGCCTGGTGTAGTTACCTTAAGGTAGGTATGGAAACAATTCCCTATAYAGCACTTCAGTACCTTTGGGCCCATAAATTTTATGGCCACTGATGCTCATTAGGTCAATTTTCATGTTGTTGACGTCCATAGGAATTTTACCAATCGCTTGTGCAGCATCCGTGTGGAAGAAAACCTTACGTGCACGACAGATCTCACCTGTAAYAAAAACACCAAACCAAAGCCCCATTATTTTATCTAATTGCTATGATCCCAAAGATTCCAACAATGGATCTAAAGCATCAGTGAATCTAAAACAACAGCAGGTTATTGAGGTATCTGAGGTGACAAAGGTAGAAATGGGGACTGTGATGTTTCTTTTACAGTGAAGTGGCTAAATCTGTGCAGGAGCTACTGTAGCTAATGCCTTGGCACAGGTTTAGGCAGGTAAGACTACAGYGAATTTCTTCATTTGAGAAGTTAAAAAGTCTTCTCCTGTTAGTAAATGAGATGATTTCTAAACCCATCTAACAAGGTTAAGAACAAATAGTTGCATGAAACATTTAAGTTTCCACATAGGAATGACACCACAGCTGGACAAAATTGTTTTTTCTTGATTCTTTATCTTCCCAACACCAGTCCAGTACRAGCCAGCCTTCCTTCCAACTTTGTATTTGCAAAGTATGTTTATGTCATTTCCTCTATTTTCCATGTTTTCCAATACTCAGCTTCAAAAACACTCAGAATTGTCACTAGTCCACACACACACACTTACTACTACTGCCTGAAGTCAGTTGAGACTTCCACCAGGCTAAAATACATGAAGAAACGCAATAAACACAAATATTATTCCACAGAATYTGCACAGCTGCATCCCAGACTTCTCCTCTGCACAAGAGGTTCAACATGATACTWCACAGGATAAGTAGTCCTCTGTGGTCCAGCAAGATCAGGCCACAGGCCACACAGTAAAAAGCCTCAAAATGCCCCTTCAAGGCCCTAGGCCGGCCTGTAGGACCTGCTATCGAGGTGTTAAGAGTTCATACTGGGGGAACTAGAGCTGGTACCAGCTGTCTCTGGCATTTAAACATGCAACCATAGTAAGGGCCTTGACAATATAAGCACAGGAGGAAAGTCCTCAGGCCTGTAAGCAATTCACTGACAGYCAAATGCTAGTCAACGAAGAAACAGAACCTCGGAAAACGTTGGGAGAAATGCTGCTTTGAGCTTTATGAAGAAAAAAATAAATGCAGCAGCTAAGCAAGAGGAAAAACAGGTGCACAACAAGATGCCTGTCACAGCCTAAGAAAAGAATACCCTATGGAGTATGTACTCCCGAGCAGAGCCAAAGCCTAAATACTGTCTAAAAACTCAAACACCTTATGGAAGGATACCTTRAATATGAAGCTGTGCTGGTTTTRGCCAGGGTAGAGCTAACTTTCTTCACAGTGRCTAGTATGGGGTTGTGTTTTGAATTTGTACTGAACACAGGGGTGACAAYAGTAGAGATGYTTTTGTTATTACTGAGCAGGGCTWACACAGAGCCAAGGCATCTTCTGCCCCTTGTACAGCCATGCTGGCAAGGGGGCTGAGGGTGTGTGGGAGGCTGGAAAGAGACACAGCCAGGACAGGTATCTGAAATTACCAAAAGGATATTCCAGACCATATGACATGTGTCATATGCTTTTGATGCCTATATAACTTGGGTCAGAGTTACAAGATGCTTATATAGTTTGATTTATAAAATACCTATGTAACCTGAATTACAACTGTTTAATATTTATATAACCTAAATTATAACTTTTAATACTTATATAACCTGAATCACAACTTTCTATACAATATAATAGCCAAAAGTAGTTAACTAGTTGCATGCTTATGTAAGCAAAAAACTCTCCAGGTGGATAACCTCAAAAACAGATTAAGTATAGCTAACAGGGAAACAGCAAGATGTACTAATGAGAAATTGGGAAATGTAAAGCCAGTTGGCCACAAGATGAAGAATTTAGACTGGTTAGATCCAAAAAGCCCAAGGAACACCATAACTACATGTGCTCCAAATGAAAAGCTGAAAAGTTGAAAAGTTCAGGTGCGAGGAAGACCTTGAACCTTCATTGAAGAAGATCCCCAAGACCACCTACACTGGAGAGCGCAAGCACAATATAGAATAACTATTTATAACCATGAGATAACATTATATAAATTAGTTCTGGACATGTACATGATGATGTTATGCTGAAATAGCAGTATTAAACAATACTTACTATACAACAATACAACACTAGACAAAGGTGGGTGAGTTAGGTGAAGAGATCCTCCTCACCTCCAGCRCTGCAATAAAATACCTGCTATATAGACACCAGTCTACAGGGTTTTATTTCTAGCCYATCTTTTTGGGCATCAGTTTCAGTATATAAAACTGGGAGGAAAAAGGTGGAAGGGAGARACATTTGGATTAATGGTGTTTGTACTCCCAAGTCACCACTGCATGGGATGGGTCCTGCTCTCCTGGAAATGGATGAACAACTGCCTGCCCATGGGGAGCAATACAGAATTCTTTGGGTTTTTTTTGCTTGTGTGCATGGTTTTTGCTTTCCATATTAAACTGTCTTAACCCACAATTTCCTAGCTTTTACCATTCAAATCATCTTCCCAATCCTGCTGGTKGGGCAGTGAGASAGCAGCTGCAAGATACTTGGTTGCCAGTTGGTGTGAAACCAGGACAGAGACAGGTATTTATATGTTTTTTACTGTCACAGGAAACTATCAACAAATCACCTGGGATCCAGGGACCTGCATATGTAGGCACCCACTCCCCCTGCATGCTCCAATAACCATGGTTCTCCAGGATCTCCCTTTATGTGCYCTGAGGTCCCTGTCACTCCACCTGCCAGCTCAGAGCCTGGCTCACCCTCTCCCTGCCTCCCATTCCAGAAACATAGCTCTTCAGTGGCCTTTTGGCCTACAAARCAATTGTTCATGACTACATATGGCAATATCAGGGGAAAGCTTGTCTAAATATGGTGCTCACCAACTCTCCCATTCCAAATTCTGCACATTTCTCCTCTTAAACACTACAGGTGCTCAATAAATTGTTATGGTATATATACTCAATTTTGGCCAGTTATTCTGTGCAATTTTTTCAYCCATCATATAATCCAATGAACTGATCCATCCAGGGAAATGATTRCTGTAATGTTCACCATAATGGTACAAAATTTCACTCTCACTTCTCCTTTAAAATCAGTTTTCATTTGGGCCAGCAGTATTATTTATATTACATTTTTTATTTCAAAGTATTTATGCTACTATTTTTTCCTTTGCTATATTACACCTTATCTTTTGCATCAGTGCCATTTGGGGATGAAAAATTTAACTAAAATGAAGCAGAAGCAACCTTACCTGGCATCTGGAAGACACTTAGTGTACTTACCAATGTCATGAATTGGCTGCTTTACACCTATTTCATTATTGACWGTCATCACAGACACCAAACTTGTATCTGGCTGGAACGCAGCCTCCAGCTCCTGGKGAAAGATTCAGAGAGACAAAAGTTGTGACTAACAGAGAAGCATGACTCCTGTACATATCTTTGCCAGCAACTCAACCACCAGTCCCTCATTCACAACAAACACCTGGGATTCTGACAAAAAGCCCTGGGGAGAATACTAACCCAAGTGGACATTAAATTCCTGTAGGAAGAGGAGTGGATTAATTGCATTTCTGCATGTCCCAACCCTCTGACACACCTGCARCCACACTTGATTAAATCAAATCTCAACAGGCTGTGATATAACCCATACATTTCTCTGAACCATTTCCTTTAATGAATTAACCACCCACAGAACATCACAAGCCTCATCTAGCCAAGGTGAGGCTGGCTGTAAAGGTGCTGCACTTTATGCAAAAGTCACATCATGTCTGCAGCAAAATGTTCAGAAAACACRACACATATTATGCACACAGGCTGATCTCTCAGCTCCATCCCACACACCACTGCTYTCCACAGCAGGTGAGGACTGGGAATAAAACTGTTGCTGCTCTGTGCTACAAGACAATCAACTAAAAACATACAACTTCTGCATCTCATGGCATCCAGTATACTCAGAAGCCATAGGGACTACTGTAATCACTGAAACAATGCCTCAAGTACAGGGCTCCCTACAGGGTACACAACAGGTCCACCTGCACGAATGTGAACAACAGCAGCTGAATGGTGGAACAGGAGATGRATGTTTTGGTTGAGAAAAACTGTARGCAACAGAASAGAAAATCCTTCCAYAGATGTGACAGATTTRACTATGACTYTCATWCTACTTTGTGATATTTATCATCCTTTCCTCTTTTTCATCAAGAGGACACAATGTCTTGAGCACCAATTTGAAGAAAACCCTGATATTTTTAGTCTATTTCTGTCAGTAACAACTTACCTTCAAATCTATGAGYCCATTTTTTTTAACAGGTAGATACGTGATGCGAAAACCTTCTGTTTCCAGGGAACGACAAGAATCCAACACACACTTGTGCTCTGTTTGTGTYGTAATGATATGCTTTTTCCTGGATTTATAGAACCTTGCAACACCCTGTTAGGCACAGTCCAGGAAAAAGAAATTGGCCATGAAAAAGAAAGCAAGTATTAGACCAGTGAAGAAAGCATTATACAAAATTATTCGAAATAAGAAATTACTAGTTAGATACAATTCATTTGGATCATTCCTGTTTGATCCAAGTCATAAATCTAAAAGGCACTGACATACAATCCACAATACATATCTCCAACAGTACTTGCTTTTCAAAAAGTCTGTGAAAATATTTATAGATAGAAACTGTAGATTCCATTACCAAAGCATTTTTTAAACACTTTTGCAGTGGAGTCATATACACTGAGAAGTCTGAACAACCACATACTACATACACAACCTATCCTTCATCAGAAAAAAGTTTCTAATCTGCATGTCCAYTATATTTCACAACAAAGATTTTCATTACATAAGCAGAAAGACTGTATTTGGTGTATACAAGATAAACATCAAATATTTTACACTGCCCTCAAAATCATATCCTGGGCCACCAAAATATTMATTCATGTATTTCCTCCACATATGTAAGAGAGAATCATAAAGAGTAAATCCAGGGAGGCAAATATTTGCTACYTACACCAACATATTAACATTTAAAYTGTTGAGAGATGCATACAGTTCTWAAATGCATAATTTTAACAATAAGAACCAACATAAACCTTTTACCTTAATTGCCATATTATTAGATTCTGTTGCACCACTGGTAAATATAATTTCCCGTGAATCAGCTCCTATTAAATCTGCAACTTGCTGTTTAAAAATAAATACAAATTGGACTTGTTAAGAAAATATACAATTCATTACAGCAAAATACATGCAAAATGTTTTCAAGAATATTGCCTTGAGCCTCAAAGGGATTACAGCTGGTACATAACAAAGTTATCCTACAAATACAAGAATCTTAATATTTGCATTAATATAAAATACACACAGAATCCACATTCATTAGCTCATCCACACTCATTAGGAGCAGTATTAAACATTAATCTATTATAAAAGAGGTAAAAACTTAGGTAGACAAAACCCCATTACATATTACTTAAAAAAAAACTACAACAACTATACCTAAGATTAGGAGAATGATAAAATATGGAGTTAGTCCAATGACTGCATCAATGTGCTTGTGACTCCAGGAAACTAAAAGTCCTGAGGCACTTCTGCCTAAAATATTGCTTTCTGTTATTTCAGTTGCTCTCACTGATAGCACAAGTGCCAATTTCTGCACCTGGGRCTGGAGAGTCCTGGATGTAGAGASAGATTGGGGAACAAGRGGCTGGAGAGCAGCACCACAGAAAGGAACCTGGGGGTTTGGGCTGAGGGCAAGTGGAACAGGAGCCAGCAGTGCCCTGGCAGCCCCAGGGACCAGCCCTGTCCTGGAAGGTCAGGAGGCCCAGCATTGCCTGCCAAGCAAGGGGGTGACTGTGCCACTCTGCACTGGGATGGCCTCACCTTGAATCTTGGGGGCAGTTTGGAACAAATCTACATAAGGATATGAAGTTATTACAGAACATCCAGAGGGAGGCCATGAAATGGTGAAGGGCCTAGAGGGAAGGCTGTAAAACAAACAGCTGAGGTCACTTTGTTTTTTCAGTCTGAAGAAAAGGAGACTAAGGTCAGCCCTCACTGGGACCGCAGCTTCCTCATGAGGGACAGCAGASAGGCAGCTTTCTGCTTTTGGTGACCAGTGACAGGGCCCAAAGGAACAGACAGAGCTGTGTCAGAGGAAGTGTAGGCTGGACATTAGGAAAAAGGTTTTTTTACCCTTTACCCTRAGGGTGGTCAGGCACTGGAACAGGCTCCCCAAGGAAGTTGCTACAGCTTTAAGCCTGCCATTGTTCAAGGAGTGTTTGGACAATACTCTCAGGCACRTGGTAGAATTGTTCAGGTATCCTGTGCAGCCTCAGAGCTGGACTTGATGATCCTTGTGGGTCTCTTCCAACATGAAATATTCTATGATTCTATTTTTTCTTGCAGTAAATCTACTAAAGTACAGCTAAGCAAAGAGGAAGCTGCTAAATTCAGCCCAGAGAACAGGGTTTTAAAAAATTTTTTTTAGGTTCTTTTGACCCCGAATTTCCTCAGCAGCAGSAAAATTAATGTGACTGTGAAGTGTCAAAGACTCACCTGCCTTGCCTTCTCCATGGCGGCCTCGCTCTCCCAGCCATAGGCATGGGTCCTGGAGTGGGGATTGCCATAGCAGGCTGTCAGGTATGGGAGCATGCTGTCCAGGACTCTGGGATCCTGTGGAACACAAACCATCCAGCCTTAGAAAAGTAGAAGGAAAAGCATCTTTGTTCCCTCTGSACACACCCCCTGTCACAGGATCAGCAGCACTTCTGTTGCAGYGTCTTGCTTTAGCTCAGGCCAGATCTTGAAAACGTGAGGCTATTGCATGTTAAGTGTAACACAAGTATCTAGCAATTACGTTCTGCGCATGCAACCCTGATCTGCACTGAAGATCCTAGAAGAATTCCTACAGAATCACAGACGTGCTTGGGCTGGAAGAGACTTTAAAGCTTATGTTGTTCCACCTSCCTGCCACACACAGGGATAGCCACCACTAGATCAAATGGCTCCAAACCCCGTCCAATCTGGCCTTTCTTCTGAGCAGAAAAAATACAAGGTCGTAAAATGTTTGGCAAAACGTCAGTTCAGTATTTTGGTTGAATTCACTTCCCGCTGCTTCTCGGAGATTTCCCCACTCCCGCAGGGCTCGGTGCGAGCTCCTAAGCGGTTTCGCCACGCTTCTGCCCTGCGGCGCTAGGGCTGCCAGCCAGGGAGTGCCCTGCGCAGCCACAGCTCCTCCGGGGGATGCCCGCACTGCCCTGCGGTGACAGGAACAGCCCGTGCCGCTACAGCCGGCGCCCAACGCCGCTCTCTGTGCCCGGCACCTCGGGACACACGCGACCACCGGGACGAGAGAACCGGGAGTGCTCCGCTTCTCATGCTCGGMGCGGTCCTTACCAGCGGGGTGGTGGCCTGGACATCCATGTAGAGCGGTCGAGGAGCGCCGCCGAGCTCGCCGGCTCGCCCTGAGGGGAGAAGAGGGGGAAAGCTGCTGTCAGGAGTCGGCGGAAACGGGGGGGTTACTCCTGCCCGGGCAAGAGCTCTGCCCGACGGCGGCCTTACATGGTCTCGGTGCCGGTCTCGGTGCCGGTGCCGATCCCGGTGTCGGTGCCGGTCCCGGTCCCGGTGCCGGTCCCCCCAATGTTCGCCGCGGGGAACATTCGCCCCTGAGGGCCGCCAGGCGCCGCCACAGCAGCATGGCGAGCGACGGACGGTGCGCGGCCGGGCCCGCCCCTTCCTGTGCGTCACGGAGCGCGCCGGAAGTCGGCTCCAGATCGGCGGAGGGTGCGGTGCGGCCGAGCGAGGTACCGGGGGGCGGGAACGGGAACGGGAACGGGAACGGGCGCTGGGGCGGTGAAGTGCGCGCTGAGGACCCCCATGCGCCCCCGCGAGCTTTTGCGCTGGACGGCAGGCGGCGGCCGGCAGTTCCCGGGCGACCGCGGCCTGAGCCCCTGGCCTGAGTCCCCGTCTCGGCCTGGCTCTCCGTAAGGGTGGGTCGCTCCTGTTCCGCTGTCCCCGGGGCCGGCGGTGCCCGGGGAGGACGGGCCAGCAGTGCAGGTTCGGTCCGGTGCTGCGTGCTCTGCTCTYTGGGAGCTGGAGAGCACACGGGGTSAGGCCCCGGAACAGCTTCGGCAGCCACAGCGCGCACGCAAGAGCTTTTTGAGGGCCAAACGAGACCGTCATTCCCGCCTTGTCCTTCCTGGCTGACAGTCGAGGAAACAAACCCGGGAGCCAGAACAACCTCCAGGACTGCACGCACGAGAGGCTCAGCTGTACGGGCCAGGCTGCCATCCCAGTCTGGTTATAGGAGTCTTATTAGACAAAGCAGTAAATCTGTGTGTGGGTATTTTCCTTTCTTTTTTAGATGCCTGTGACCGTGGGACCGTATGGGCAGTCACAGCCCAGCTGCTTTGACAGAATAAAGATGGGTTTCATGATGGGCTTTGCAGTGGGCATGGCTGCAGGAGCGCTGTTCGGCACATTTTCCTGCCTCAGGTATGCCAAGGGAATGATTTCCACAGACAGATGGTGATGGGGCAATAGCCAGAGAAATGATCCTGTTGTGGGTTGGTGTTGTGGGTTTAAACCTGTTTTTCCTGGCCAATGCGCCAAAAATGTTATGGTTTGAACTGGACCAAAAGCCAAAGCACCCATGACATTCTCTCCCCCCACCCACCGGAGAGGCAGAGGGGAGAGCAAAAGCCCAATTGACACTAAAATTTATGCCTTTTAGATAACATAATGTAGTTGAGAGAAAGATACATATATGCTCCTGAAAATGGTCGGACAGGCTGAATAACTTAGGTTACAAAATAGATTTATTACTAAGAACTACTAAGAATACTACGGCACCGGGGAGGGGAACAAAGATAGGGAAAAATTTACAAGGAGAAGAAAAATAAAAATGGACATTTTAAGACACCTTTATTCTTTCTTTAAGACACCGTTATTCTTTCTGAGGACCCATCTCTTTCTCAGGTCATCCCTCTCCACCCCCCATGTCTTCCTGCACACACAGGGGGAAGGAATAAAAGTCTAACATAGATCAAACTACTCATTACAGTTGTCGTCCAGCATCATAGGAGAAGTGTTCTTACAGCTCCAAAAAGCTGTGGAAGTTCCTTTTCCCAAGAAACAGTCAGTGTATAACTGCTGATGGAATGGGATTCCTTTTCTTTACCTTGTGGGAGAAAGGAAAACAGTCCTCCAAGGCCATCTCTCAAATCTCCTGGCAGAACACAGCTTCTTCTTAGCATCCACTCACTTCAGATGTGGCGGGGGGCAAGCCTCTTCCCCCTTTTTGGCTTATAATCAGTCCAGTCCTCCAAGGCCAGGGTTTTCTCAGAGCAAAGTCGCTCACTTTTCTACATAGGTCTTCACTGAAGAAGTAGTCCTTTCGAGAACAGCTTTTTTTCCCCATGTTTGAGCACCAAAGCACAGCACAACAGTACCTGTCTTCTCCTTACTGTAATCTTGAGTCTCCATTTTTTCTTCTTACATCTCCTCACCCTCCTGCTCTGTTTTTCCCCAGTGCATGATACCAACAACCTAAAAACTACATGGCGGCCGCCCCCATCTTGTTTTGAATTCTTCTTAAGTACAAGACCATACATCATCACAGAGGTGTATCTACCATGTGCAATTGGCCCAGGCCTGATGGGCAGCCTGTCCATCAACCTCAGAGCCATAATGGATTGGCTCTAAAACACAGGGGCAGGGCTCTTTTTTGCTGGAGAAGGAGAAAGCTTCTAGAACTTTGTCAAAGGAGCCATCTTTGTGGTTTCTTGGTCCCATCCCCCCACCACCAAGAAAGTGGACCAAGCAAAACCAGGACAGTTGGGAAGGGGTTCAGTTTGGTCCTGTGTCAGTCCCATGAGTAGAGCCTTGTCAGGGACTCCAGCTACAGCAGTAGGCCCCAACCTCCAGCAGGTGAGGCCGGTGCTGGCAGGGCGTCACCTCTGGGTCCCCCATATGCGAGGATGTCCCAGTTTCACAGAACTTTTCTTGCCTCTTGCAAGGGAAGTTAACTGGGAAGCTGAGGCTGTGGAGGATCAGCTCCAGGAGGAACTGGACGAGTTGTGCAGATACGTGTGCAGCCCTCTCCTGACCCTAAAGTTTCCTGAGGTCAGACCTCTGTAAGGTCTCAGTGTCTGCATCGTGGCCCCTTTGCACGTCTCATCTCYTGCACTGAGGCAATTACCAAACTGACCCTGAGTCTGAACTGCAGGAGTGTGGGCAGAGACATGGCTGGACTCAGGCTGTCCCATTGTGCAATGGAGAGGGGCAATCAATATTCCACCTTCTGGGGCTCATCAGCGTGCTGACATGAAAACAAGCCGTGCTTGCTGCTCTGTGTTTGCTCTGGCACTGCTGACTGGYTTTGCAAATCATCTAAGACAAAAGATCACTGAAGTCAGCTCTTTCATAGTCGGCAGAAGTCTTTCTGTTTTATGGTTTTTACCTGTGATTAAACATGGGGGAGGTGAAGGAGGAAGAAGCACCAAATCTACTCTAATGGGAGTTTGAAGTTTTGTTATCTCAGTTCCAAGAGAGTATTTGTAAGCAGTATGATGCTGGCAAAATATATAATTTAGGAGATTTAGAAGAACTAGTGATAGTGGTTCTGTCGTACTTGAATGACACAGCTATAGTACTTCAGCTGTACCATTTTGAGGGAAAAATCTCATGTTTTAAGAATGAAGTGCATGAAATTCCTTAGAACCTRAAGTCACTGCAGTGCTTAAAAGCCAAGTGTTACAAGAGCTTCTTGAGACAGAAATTTTTTTTTTGTTTCAGTCTAACCTGAGGTAAGTGAAAACTGGAGAACAGAAATACCTTTTGAAGTTTTTAGGCCTTTCAGGTGTCTCATATTAAAAATAGAGTCAGAAATGAACAGGAAGTTAAGTTGGTGGTATTAAAAACACTGCCACTGCAGCTAGAGTATATGACAATATAAGAGCTCAGACAACTCTTTTTGTACTCTGGCAAGTAAAATAGTTCGACAGCACCTTTTTTTTTTTCCTGTGCTAAGGGTATGTTGGGGACTAAGATCCAAAGCTGTTCCTGCTGAAGGTGTGGGAGGAGGGTTCCACTGTAGGAAAAAATACACATGGGGCTTTGGTGAGGGCCACCCAAGAAGCCTCTGCAATAGTGCAGGGTACTGCAGCCAGTCTCTGGACAGGCAGGAGCTGTACAATTGCGCAGATTTAGACTGAAGAAATGTTCAATTTACAGTCATGAGTTGATTGTCTCAAATGTTTTCTGATGCATGTTTGTGACCTGTCAGGGTTCAGCTTTCATATAATCCCTGTGGTTTTCTTTATCTCAGGATTGGCATGAGAGGACGAGAGCTGATGGGTGGAGTTGGCAAAACGATGATGCAAAGCGGTGGGACATTTGGGACATTCATGGCCATTGGTATGGGAATACGCTGCTGATCTGGAGTTTGGGATTAATCCTGGAGCACCTTCACCCAGCCATTCCTCCTCTGTACAATAATAAAATCTTTAGATACTTGGAAGTGAGAGCTTTTCATGAAACAGCAATCCTACCCTCCATGCTCTGCTGATTGTAAGATGCTTTTTACCAAATTTCTACTTTCCTCCCAACTCCCAAAACAATGAGAATCAATAAGCATTTTTACTACATTAAAGTTCCTGTTTCACAGATGTAAGTAACAGATGTAAGAAGCACAAGTTTCTCCCTTTGGCACTTGGGCAGCTCACATTGCCCATATGGATAGGGAGCTGCTGTTTCATGCATTCCTGAGTCTAGGAACATTGGATGGTGGGTAATTCAGATCAATAATCAAATTTCTGTTCTCTTGCAAAAATACGTGGGGTGAAACTGGTCCCATTTCTGAGTTCCAGGTAACATGGGGCAGATGCCCTCAACAGAGGAAGGGACCCCAAGATTCAGACAGGTCCCTTAAGAGCTGTGTTTCCAGGAACTGAGTCTTTTCCTACATTCTGGTTTAGCAGGACTACAACGTGCTCAGTCCTTCCCCAGGAGAGCAGTGGATCCCTCCTGGCACKCAGAAGCAGTACCTCCAGCCAACTTAGGCAAGGGTTGTTGGTGTTGTAATCTTCCAGTATTTGCCCTTTGAAACAAGGCACCTCTCTGCTTCTCCTTTAGTTCTGTGTGAGGACAGGTGAGCAGCCACACTACTGCAACCAGTACCTGTACAGCCTTGACCTGGTAGAAGTGCCTTTTCTCCAGTTTTTAAGGCAGAAACACAAATTGACCACTCAAAGGCTGTTTTCAGATYAAGCAAGCCTAGAGCAGCTTTATTTCTTCAGCTTCTCAAGATCCTGCTGTAGTATATTTGCCTTTTGCCTGTTCCCAGTTTCTTGATCAAGGACAGGCCCTTGCCCCACTGCAGCTAAGGCACAGCTACAGCCCCAGGGGCTACAGAGCAGGTCCTCCCCACAATACTATGGGAACAGCAAGAGTGCTGGTGCCTGCCCCACCTTCACCCACACATGAGGAATATTCTGTTCTCCCTTTCTCCACCTAGGTCAAACAGCTTTTCTYAGTAGATAAAAAGGCCAGGGCGGTGGGACAGGGGCAGACAGGGCAAAGCAAGAGGGCAGGCTCCCTGCAGAAACCAGACTGAAAGCCACTGTAATGGACAGCTCCAGCCCCTGGACTCTTAACCCTTTATGAAAGATGGAAGTGGATGTAGGCAGGAGGGAGACACCTCTGGACTGAACTTTTAACTATGCYGGAGGAGGGCAAGATTTGTGCTCAGGTCCTCAGCAACCACAGCCACACTGCATGGAGGGCTCTGGGAAAAGTTCCTGCACGTGCTGAGCATATGCTATCCCCTGGTTTACCCGGATACCATGCAGTGGCYATCTCAGACATCTGGCATTGCACAGCATCTATCACTCACCTCCAGACCCAAGCACACACTGCTTAAATCACATTGGGAAAGCAGAGAAATAAAGCTTCTTGAAGGCCTTTTTAAGAGAATTTTATTTGAGTGGTTCTTACAAAGATTGTTGCAATATGAAAGTCTTTGATAGAAATATCAAGCTGTCTTGTCAAACACACTGAAGTAACCCAAAAATATATTTCAGAGCTCACAGAGCTTAAAAAGAGCAAAGATTATATGCAACCAGAACAAAACATGTTTCTGTATTTCCTACCCATTTTCAGACTTGACTGAAATCCTTCAGCTCTGCCCCACTGCACACTTGGAAACTCATCCGGAAATGCAGAGATGTTTTGTTTGGAAACTTAGACACACCTCACAGTATTTACAAAGAAACTTTTACAGATACAATAATCAAAAGTAACCATCAAGAAATAAAACCCTTCAATCCTTCTTTTCTAATCAATTATCCAGCACAAAGCAAGCTGAGTAGCTGTCTGCAATCAGCATTCAGTAGCCWTTTGATTTTTCATTTATACAAAACACTAAATATGTCCCTTCATCCAGTCTCTCTCTGATACTACCCTTGAGCAGATCACCCACATTTAGTGAAATGTACAGTATCTTTGCTGCATTAAAAGAAAGGCTCATGAAACATTAAAAATTCATTATGTCTCATCCGCCTTTTACAAAGAACTTGTTATCTATGAGCTACTTCTCAGTTCCTACGGATCACCTTAGTCAATGTACAAGAATTACAAGGCAGAACAAGAAGTCAACAGCTTTGTATACAGTGGAAATGCTAGTTAGGGAGAATGAACACACTGCATTTCTGCTTACTTCATTTTATTTTAAAGATAGCAGGAAGTGTACACAAAATGACATTAAATCCTTTCCTTTAGTTTTATCTAAATAAAAGATAACTCAATCTTCCTCCAAAAAATACCTATGTACAAAACTGACTAAATTAATATTCATCGTCGAACAGGAACCAGTAGTTGGGTTGCAGTCATTGAGTCTGGGAAGAGGCTGTGGTATGTTGGAAGAGGTACATAYGCTGCTGTAATCATTTTACCTAATCAAGAAGAAAAAAAAAAAATCAGTATCTGGTCATTTCTGTAATGGATGACTAAATGTAGATGTGTACATGGAACACTCACCTGCAAACCATCTCCCATGCAATGCATTGACAGCCGCAATGGCAGCAGCAATCGAGGGACATTTGACGTACACATTGCCCTGCAAGACAGAACAGTGCAGCCTGTGAGGAGTCACCCCATCACTGCTCCTCACCCGCCCTCTGGGCCTGGCTGTGAGAGAAGCACACCCACTCCACCAGCACCCACTGACATCAATCAACAACACAGAATGAACATGAGAGAAGGGGACATTGGTACTGGCAGGCACTACCCTACTGTGGCAGTTATTGCAGCATTCAATTTTTCTAAATAGGATTTTGCAAGACAGCCTAAGCATGCACTTGATCTGCAATCATTAAGCCATGGATGGCTGATCAGCTTCTGAGAATTTTTCAGAGAGGGGAATCTAAAAAGTTCCCAATCACTATGTGAAAGGTAAGAGCACAAGGGGTCTGGCTGCCCCCATGGCAGCCCAGCCATCAAGATCTGTAAGTCACTAAACTCAACCACATATGCTTCACTCAATATGCAAGCTCACAACCTSGATTCCACAAAGACCAAGCATTCCCCATTCCATCCACATGGGAAGGACATGCAGCAGCTTGAAGGGAGACTGATACCATAAAAATTYTCCAACATGAACTTCAGCATATCTGTCTTTACTTGAACAAGAACTGAGGCAAAGGAAAAATCCCACCCCCGCAGGGAAGGAAGAGCCTGAGAAGGTTCCCAAGGTGAATGATAGACTGATCTTTGAACTTCACCAGGGACATCTGGAGTTTCCCATTGCAGATCAAGCGCTGTGCCTCCCTCTAATCCAGASACCTGCAATAGTCACATCCAACAACTCCAAGATGCACAGATGCCCACAGTAATGCATAGGCATTTTTCTGGCTGCCTGTTTAGGAACAGACCATCAGTAATACCCCAACAGATCAATTCTAGCTGAAACAGATTTTTCAGGAAAATAGTATATTAAGAAACAGACTCCATTTCTCCCTTTGGCAGCTTCAGTCAGCTTGTATTAACTCTTCCCACTGCAATCTAGCTCATGACCTTCTCATGGGGTGAACCTGAGCTTAGGGGCTGATRTTTAAGGCACTAAGCAATCAATTAACACACACAGCCCTGCTCTCAACCTCCCCCTGCRAAGGTACCCAAAGTACTTAATTGCCCAAATGAGGTGTGGCAACAAACCTGTGCTTTTCCTTAACACCCACCAGCACAGATAGGTTTTGGTACATAAGCCACACACTTAACTAGGACTGTTTCACCCAGAACAAATCACACCCACATGGCCGACCCCGACAGCCCTCAGGATGGAAGTCTGCCTGGTACAGAGTCCTGAACATGCCCAGAAAATCTAAGCCTGGAAAACAAAGTGATACAATGGAAACTGTATCAGTGGGTATTTTGTATCTGGGTCATTGCTGTGCCTACTATGATGAAACATTTAATTTTCAATGAAACATTAACTCATTACATAGTAGCTTGTAGTTTCTTCTTTTGAATCCACCTGCTAATATGAAACAGAATTTGCAGCTCCATGTATTCAGAACCTAGGCAAAGTATCTTGTGGGCTGWGAGGTTTTAAGGATGGTGGTTTTTTTGGGGTTGTGTGGTGATTTGTGTTTTGTTTTTGGGGTTTTTTTGGGAGCAGAAAGTGCTCTGGGTTGATGGCTGGATTTTTTTCTGTCACAGAACACTTTGTTTTCTCTAAGACATAACAATGAAGACACTTGTGGGCCAATGCTTCTGCCTCTCATCAGTCCAACAGTCCAAGATCACAGCTGTGATCTTGAAAAATTACAAGATGGCAGGGAAGGTGGCATGTTGTTTTATGTGCTAGATTGAAGCTTCTAAGTTCTCTATAAACAAGGGTTTCAGGTGACACTGGGCCAGCTGCACAAGACTGTGATGGTTGGTGACTGCCAAGTGCATTATTAGGGCAGAACCACCCCACCTAGGCACCCCAACAGGAACTATGTTTCAGCCTTGCACCACAGCATGGAAAAGGTCACTTGCAGGGTCTGATGGATAGAAATTAACCTGTGAAACCTCAACCACATATGTTTCACTCAATATGCAAGCTCACAACCTGGATTCCACAAGAACCGAGCATTCCCCAAAACGCCTCCCCCCCCTTCCCCCCCCCCGCATGGGAAGGACAAGCTGAGGTTTCAGATTTTTGAATCTGAAAAACTTCTGTTTGGGCTGTGAATTCTTTTAAAAAAGGGTTCAAGATGGTTAATCTATTTACAGACCTTTCAGAGTTTACACATTCTAAGAGATGAAATACAGAGACTTACCAGACTGGGGATTACATAAACACGAAGTCAGAAGAAAAATACATTCACCTGTTTAACATACAGGTATAAACCTGGAATTCAGTCTGCAAGAGCAGTCTTTCTCTTCCCTGCTCKAACTTCAGGCCCGCAGACTGCCCACTGCAAGGCCTTAATGTCACAAGAGACCACAACTGTTCTGACACATGGGATGAGGCACACAATTATCTGCACACTTAATTCTCTCGGAGCAAGGGCCCTTTCTGCTGAAGCCTCTGCTCTAGAAAGAGGAAACTGCAAGTCCCGGCTTGTGGGACAGGCACAGCTTAAGGGAAAAGCCAAATGCCTGAACTGGTTACTACTCTTCTACGAGAACTTAAGCTATGTAAACCTGCAAGAGCAGAACCAGAAAGCTGCTAATACCCACATCCAAATTACACACCGTGATTCACAAYAGGAGGGAACCACATAAATTCTGCACAAACTTCAAGTAACTTCAAGAAATYTATGTTCAGTTTAGGAAAACAACCCTATATTTGTAATGCTCCCCCTAGACAAAAGAGAGCAACAGAACTTAAAACATCTAATCAGTGTCCCCTTTGGAACCAGGCATACCTGAGCTGAGTTTTTGTCAACATAGATATGGATAACTCCTCCATGTTTGTTACATTCTTCAATCACATCATCTTTAATTTCTGTGTCCCAGCCAGCTTCTTCTTCACTGTACAGGGAAAGGAAAAACAGGACAGAGATATCACTTGACAAAATCCACCCCCAAAACCCATTAAACACCTCTGCAATGTTCTGATTTCTTTCTTACATGTCAAAAGTCATTGACAAATGCCAAACWGACTTACTTACTTATAAATCACTTACGTTTGAGGATTAAACATGTTGGAAAGCTGGAAGCACTGTGTTGCAAGTGGTGGTACAGAAGCAGCTGCAGCCAGAACTGTTGTAATGGAAAAGAAAATTAGCATATCTTAGCATATCTAAAACCCACTATGTATGGCTCTAATTTATTTAGCACAATTCTGATTAAACAGAAATTGAAGGCAGTAAAGCAAAACTYAGAACTAAACACTACTGATGATAGATACATTTTAAGTGATTWATACAAACACCAGCACATTATGAATCACAGTTGAAACTGAAAAGTGAAAATATAATCATGTACATTCACTTTGGCAGATTTTCCATTTAAACATTAAAAGGCATGCATCTTCATTTGCATCTAAAATGTCTGCCTGAGTCGTATGTCAGCAACACGTTTAATGTTTTGCTCCTCAGGGAAGCCCAGCAGCAGCTCTGAACAGGGCACTACCCCAGCTGACTGCAGAGCAAAAGACAGACACCTTAGGGCATCTTAAAACCTGTTTGAAGCATGTTGAATTATACTTCAAAAGTATACCTGCACTTTCACCCCTTGAAAATGCAGACTGTAGGATGAAATTGCKCTTTCCCTACAACCATAAAATTATTACTTGTCATTTACTGCTGGTTATCATCCCAGCACATTGTATTAAAACACTGCCCAACAGGCTGCCCTTCCATAGGCTCCAGGCTTCTGGAACTGCAAAAACAKCCCCCTTCCCCATATACTTCAGACATTAAGGGCAGTACAGTCAGACAATAAGTAACTCAGTGACAGTAACCCCAAACTCCTGATTCTTAAATGACCCCTTTACGGAAGGGATAATACTCCTACCCAACCACAAACACCAGTCCACACATTTGCTTGGACTAACACATGGGTGGGGAGCGTTACTGGAGAAAATGCTATGAAGAATTTTCAGTCATGAAATCAACCACAGCACGATTCCCCAAAGATAACTAACAGGATGCAATTTCTCAGGTATGAGCAAACCCTATACCAGAAGCATTTCACCTACAGACACCTGCAATAAAACTTACTAATTACACATCATATCAAATGCTAGTTTACCTTCATTCTGCTGAGACAGTCTTGTTTGTAAATCTAAAGAAAAATACAGAGAAGTAAATTAGTATGCTTGCTAGCATCATTGTATCATCACCTGCCAGCCAAGCTGTTCAGCTTGTATTTCAGTGGTCAAGAGCTTATTCCAGTATCTCAACCCAGTCTCACAGTTCCTCTCTAGCTGTGAGCAGTTTCACTACTTTAAGCTTCTCTATTGGAATATTSTGTATCTGATGGATTCCACGACCACAAAAAATTTCAAAGAAAAACAATACTTTAAAAGACAGACATGACCATGTCCTTTAATTCAGTGTATCACTCCCACCTTGGTTTGCTGTGATTGAACGCTTYACAAGACATGTTTTATTCCATAAGAAAATAACTACAGCAATTGTGACAGGCATTAGAGGTTTGACATCTTCACTCCTAGAAAGCAGGTTAACACACAGCTATCCAAACCTGACATTCATAAAGCAGTTATCAAATCTCACTTGAACTAGAATAAGGCAATACTTCATCTTTTCATATAGATGGCACAATGATACAAGTAACTTTGGTATTTTTCAAATTCAAAATGTTTTCAAATGTTCAGAACTATAATTTGCCTAGAAAATTATTTACTTGTTTGACAACATCATCACTTACTTGTTTAACATACACCTGTCCAAATTTAAAGTGATGAGAACAAATGCAGACTTCCTAGCCATTTCCAAGCACATAACTTCAATACTTGACTGACATTTTTGAATGTCAGAACTTCAGAATTCAAGAACTGTAAGCGTAACTCCCTCCAATAATGGTTCACTCTAACACACAGACACTAGTGAGAAGACTGAAGCAAACCACCACCTTAATTTAGCAAGCAGCAAAGTGATTAACACCAAGTAAGCTTCCAACCTGAGCTGAAAATACCTGAAGGCATCAGGTATCAACATACTTTTTTCCTTTCTAATAAAACCTCCTCCACAACACTGAAGAATGAACAGGAGTAAATGTTTTTCTCTAGGTTTTTTTCAAGGRCCTTTCCAAGTACCTTGCAAAGAACATATACTTGGAACTACACTCAAAAGCAAGAGCTGGAGGGAGCAAGCTCTGAAGGCCGAGCTGCCAGATCTGAACACAAAGTCCTCACCTCCAGAGAATGAGAAATATCACAATAGCAAAGACTGCCTTAGCCTGTATTCTGCAGAAACAGGTATGGCCAAAACCATGCAGTAACTACCTACCTAGTTAATTAATACTCAGACCCTTGAGAAAACAAAGTCTTTTAAAAAAATCTGCAAATCTTTGAACTCTCAAAATTTACATGAGGACAGACATTTTTTTCCTCRGCAACTCTAATCCAATTTTATGTAAACATCATGTCCAGCTGAACTTGTCTGKGGGTCAGCCTGGGGCTCTACAGCCAAATGCTCCAGAATTCCTGCACCAAACATGGTAAACCTGCACTTATCACTAGTGCAAATTCTGTCCAGGGCACTTTCCTCTTTTGCAGCACACTGTTGCAATTCTTTCCATAAACCAGATAGCTTCTCCCACAAGTAAGGAATGCTTTATCCCACAAAGCATTAGAAGAATGTTTGATAAGAAATTTTGAACAATCAGCCTATATTCAGAGAATACAACTGTTCAGCTTCAAATTCTTTTCCCTGCTGAAATTTACTCCATAGGCATAACAGCCAAATTCTCTGGTCTCCCATAAAACTAATTCCTTAYGTTCCCTATTTTAGTTTGATTGACCCCCTCCTGAACATGAATTATCAGAAGTGTTTATTGATGTATACATTATACCTCAAATGCTCAGGCATGCTGCCTCTAGGGACATAGCTGGCATTTTAACAATACATCATGCTGCCCAGTCATATCCTGGCACCGATCAATGTTAGTATTTAGGTATTTTCCTCCTCCTTGGCCATTCTTGAACTGGTAAATTCCCAGATTATGTGTCTGGAATTTGATTCAACCCTGAAGAGGTGAACAAYACACAACACCCTGAGAATCTGTTATCAGCACCTACACGTCTACTCACCTCATTCCTACTGCTGAACATTTTCATTCATGTAAATACTACACAAGACTAGCTCAACACCTGAACTTTGGTTTAAGAACAGCCTCCAACTTTTCCAGCTTTCATCTGTAGAAAAATCCTTCTTTCTCTGAGCTAGCTTCTTGACACACCCTGTACTTCCTATATTACCCACTTCTCTGGTTTAGTGACAGGAGTCCAAAGATCAGCAACAAGAATTCTGTACTGCTCCTCCTCTGCCTAGGAAAGGCAGTTTCATCAAAGACTGCTGGTCTTTGAATGCAGTTTCTCTGACAGTATGCCATACTTCCATAATATTCTCCAGTTTACCCTTCTTTTATCTGACTGCGGAACGAGCAAAGCTTAGTCAGTAATGGGACCAGAAYCTGGCTAGGCCCCATTCTTCTTCAAATGTACGTCATTTAGAGTTACATGTTTCAGCTATATACTGTATCACTGACTTAAAATGTTTATTAACAATACCGGATAGGAGACCTCATATTTCACACATTTATTCCCTCACTCATTTCACAGCAGTTTTACTCCTCTRAACTGCTCACATTAGCTTCTTACTTTTAGTTTTGTTTCTACCTTGGAAATAATTTCCTTTTTTTTTTATCAAACTACATAGTCCTAGCTTACMTTTCTCAAATTCCAAACTTCATGACTAGTGTACTCACTACAAACTGAGGCATTGAAATACATAGAAATAGCTCATGAGTTTTTTTCCATTCACCTGAGTCCCATTTAATTTCTTTTTCTTCAAGAGTTGGTTAATCTTCATCTATTACTTTCATGACTTTTATAACACCTAACTCAATTGTTGGTAGGCAATTTTCTTTTAATCTGTTACCCAAGCAAAAAATATTGTTTTATTAGCAGTCCTTTATCCTATTTGTCATAGGCTGTGTGCTCATTCCTTATTTCTTTTGAGGTAGCTGATCACCCAGGTTTAGTGTGGAGACCACACTAACAGGACATTTTCTTCTTTCTGTAGAATACAGATCCAACATAGCATTAGCAATGTGAAACAGAAGAAACTTTCATATCCTGCCAGTTCAAACACACAAGTTGCTCAGACCAGATGACTTAACGGCCTTGTTTCTTCAACCATCAGTAAGACCTGTTTGTGTATCCTTCTATTTAAATGTGTACAACTCATCATGCCTCAAGTCAATGGTCATTTCTATTCTCATCCGTAACATCTTCATTACTTACCAAATTGAGTTTAAAATAGCATCCCCTCTTCATGAGTCAGTGAGTGTTTGATGAAGAAATTTGTCGGATATCACATCCAGGAATATCTGGGCCCCACCATTATTACTAGCAATTCTTCTCCAATCTGTATCGGGGAAGTTAAAGTCTCCCACAATGACATAATTCCTGGTAGTAATTTTCTCTAACAAGAGTAAAGAGATCTTTAATCCATAACCAAATCTCACTTTGGGGATAGCTCATGACTCTAGGCACCAAAAAACTTTTTCCAAAGTTTCTTAACTTGCACGTGTTTGCATTATTCCTTTTGTACAATACAAGTGGAATAAACAGTGCTACCCCTACCACCTTTATTTCTACAGTTGCTAAACATGCATCTTCTTCAAACACCTGTATTCAGCCTCTTTATTTATTTCTCCACAGCCATGTTCTCTCATGCCGATACCATGCTACCTGAACCATTCAGCCTTGTCAGACATTTTTGGCCGTGTTTTTGATTTAGTGAGCTTGGATTTTTTTGACCTTGTTTGTTTCAAATGCAGGGAGAGGAATAGGACTGGTTTCTTTTAAAACATTCTCATTTCTAATTGCCTACACGTGTTTCTACACAAGACTGCCACACCACTTTACAACCTGCAWTAATGTTGCTCTAATTTCAGTGGTGGTTACCTTCCCTTCTCTTTCTGAATTATACACACTTTTTCGTCACCGCTGTATCTTTTTCATTCTTCTCAAACAGACAACAAACATTTTTCTGTCACTAGCCAGCTCCTTCTCTTAAGACTGCACCTGATTGTCAGTAACATGACTCAGGCCTATCTTATTAAGCCTGAATCATTTCCATCACAAGCTCTGCTGGAGGCAAACACAACATCACCTTTTCTTTGCTACTTTCCTGACACTTTCCACATGTTCCAGGATTGGGTTATCGGTGACATTCAGGTCCTATCTACTGCTATGACAGTTTCATATCCTTTCTTCTTAGTATTAATCAAAAGTAACCAAAAAAGTAACCTTCAAGGAAGTTACTCACTGCTCTAGTTCTGAAAACCTCATGATTAGTTTGTTTTTCAGGCTAGCTATGAACTAAGCAGCAGCAATCATACCCCTCAGCCTCATTCCAGCATACCCACCTACAGAACACACATACAACTGTAGCCAAATCCAAGCAACACACATGTTCCTTGACAGAAAATGTCTTTCCTCACCAAGACACACATTGTAAAAACACTGCTACCAGCTTAGTGTTGTGTCCCCCATAAAGTACTAATAACTTCCCTGCCCCTTGTGCAGCTCCAGTTTTTCTGAGGGGTCAATCCCCTTCCAGTCCTGAGSCTGCCATTTTTTACAGTCAACACTTACACCACAGTAGAACACACAAATCCCCACTAGTACAAAGAATAGCAAAGAGATAGAGATTTTGGATGAAAAACTATAACAGATTTGCAAAAATACACAGATTTGCAAAAATGTGAATCACGCCCATCCAAATTGTGATATAAKGTCACTAGTCATTTGCTTATGGATTTGCAGTGTTTTACAGTTTGTAAAACATGCTGCAATACCTGTGTTCTCATTTAAAAAGATCAAAAACCATAGTTAGGTACCTCTTGTCTCAAATTTATAAAGCATAAAGTAATTGGAAAAAAAAAAAGTCATCATTTCTTACCTGTCACAGCTCCAAAGGCCAAAGATCCACTCATCTGCAGAGCCTGCTGTGCAGCTGGAGGAATCTGCAAACCAGTACCTGAAACAGAACACAGAGAGCCCTTGTAGCAATCCCCTTCACTCACTTAGGGATGCAGTAATGGAAGTATCAGAAATCTTACTGTTGTCAAAAGATTAAAAATACCACGCATTTACAAGTTTCAAGTTTTATACATTTATCCTAACAGTCCTGTGGAATGTTTTAATTTGAATTCTGCAAGCTTCTGTATGTTCACACATTTGCTATTCAACACTGCACATACCTTCTGCAAGTCTTGCCATCAACTGAAGGCGACCAGTTGTTCCCAAGTCAATTCCAGTCCGTTCCAACTCATCACTGTCCAAAAATGAGCTAGCACTGGAAGCATCAGTACGCTCAGTTACGTGCCCAACTTTCATTGGCCTCCCAGCCAGCTCAAATCCATTGAGTTGTTCCAGGGCCTTTTTGGCACACTCAGAGTCTGAGAACTGTAGATTGGAATAACACAAATTCAGTAATATTGCCTACAGGATTCAGCAACACTTCYATTGTATGTAATATCTGAAATTAGGCTAACAGGACAAACTGTAAGTTAATAGCAACAAGCTAACATAAATGTGCTCTGTATTTTTCATTTAAACTAAACATACCCATTTTGTTATTTACTTTCTCAAAGGTATTATATTTTTTAGCACATTGTTGAAGTTACAGCATCTAGATACTGAAATCAACACAAGTCATGGCTGCAGTTCTCTTTCAGAGTGACACACACTTCCTTTGCAACCTTACAACTGCCATGGCATTTACTGGTTATTCCTAACAGATGTTCTGCTTTATGCTGCGAAATATCAAAATAAACACACAAACATTTTATTATTGTTACCATTCAAGTATGAGCTATATAGTAAGTTTGGTTTCATTTGTGTTTACATGCCAGAGGTCTCAGCTGAGACTTTTTTCCCCATGACCTATTGCCAGGTCAGTCAAGAAACTCAAGTTCACAAAACTGTGTACCTGAGGGTAAAGAGGAAAGATGTTTTCAACTGAAAATTTCAGCCCCTAAAAATTATAYTGCCCCTAAAAAGCTCGAATTCATTTATTTTCAGCTACAAACAACATCAGTCTTTACCAATGTCTTTGCCTGCAGTAGGTAACATTTGCTTGTGCAGGCACTGACTACAAAGGAAACTATTCCCATCTAAACACATTCATTGTTCATTCACAATACCCAGACAACTAGCAGAAATGAAAAAAAAAAGCCTAGTGCTGCATCCTGCAAGGTAACACTTCTAGAATGACAAAGAGATATAATGTAGCAATTCAGTAGCTACTACACATACATAGCTTATTTAGGTTCCTACTACACAGACATGGATATACAAAGCAAGATTATATATAGAGATATTCTCGTACATGGGAAGGTTACACTCAGAAGGTGCCTAAAGAAGCTGGCAATTCTAGTCATACCGTAATGAATCCATATCCTTTTGAGCGTCCAGTTTCACTGTCCATCATGAGCTGAATACTTTCAATCTAAAGATAAGAATAAAGTTATTTGTTATTAGACATTTTGTCTGATACCAAGATACCCAAGATACCAGAACACAACATGAAAATAGCACTGTCAAATACATGAATGTGGAACTACCATTTTCATTTTTTAAATCTCATTCCTTCCTCATTTCTGCAGTGTACAGTGTAGGTAGGTACTTGGATAATAAGACAGAAGCAGATAAACATAAACGTCCTGAGCTCAGCTACTGGCAGCAGCTTGATCCTGATGAAGAATTATAGCAGACAATGAACATGGAGACATGATCAGATCCTGACCGAAACACACTGGTCATGGCACCTCATATGCTAAACAACTCTTYTACAAGCAATGAAAAGAAGCTTGCATGACTCTGACGAGGGCCAAGAAAAAGCAGTATATTTTAGTAACTATTGGCATATGGGAACTCCTAGAAGTTTACAGTTACTGAATTTAAAACACATTGCTGAGTTATCCAATAGCCATAAAGTAGCATGGGGAAGGGCTACAATATACAGAATAAGAAGGAAAGATCTTCACAGCTCTCCATACAAGCCTCCTAAACTATCTTAATCCTACTGCCAGACATTGAGGGGGGAAAAAAACCCACAAACCACAAGAATAGCAGCCACATGGATTAAAATTTAATAAACTGCAGCAATTTTCCAGGGTTCTGCACAGGAGATTTAAAGTGATACACATACTGAGTTTGAACAAAGCATGTGAAAAGCACTGCTACTGTATGTATGAGGCAGAGTTCATATCCAAGCACAGTATGCAAAAATCTCAAACATGAACAGACTCCTTTTTCCCCATTAAGAAACATATTGAGCATTAAACTTTTCACCTATGATATATATCCCAGTATCATAGTACAGTAGGGCTAACACGTCTCGTAACCGCACTGGAAACTTGAGATTATCTGCTCACTTCTCATAAACTTATTGATGTGCTGCAAACTGCTGCCCAATGCTCAGGAGCAAGAATAGGCCTGAGTCAGAGCTGTCAAGTACACATCGCTAGCTCATGGACTTAACATCAGCAAAACTGCAGCAAAAAGTCCTCAGAAACAGATGCTAGATAGTATTATTCTTAGACCCCTCAGCCCCAGTTCTGTGTTTTGTGCTTTAACCTGTGAAATTGAGCTTCTATTCATAATTGTGAAAGGGACAGATATTACAAGTTGCCAGAGCAGGACACAACATAGGGAATTTGGTTTTGGGTTTTCCCCCCATGTTCCTTACTTTCATGTTTCATTGAATTCAGAGCTTTCTAAGACCTGACATTCAAACTCATCACAAATTCAAGTTCTCATCTGCTCTCCAACACTACCCACATACCTAAGGCCTGTGGAGGCATGGGCACAGCAGTGCAAGAAAGGAACAAATGTTTTTGTGAGTATGAAGCTGAATTATTTCTAGAAGCTGCCAGTGCTTTACAACTAAGTTAGGTTTTTCAAATAAAGCAACATACCAAATGAAAGCTTACCCTGCCAAATGGCTCAAAGATTCCTCGAAGCATATCTTCAGTTATGTTGAAGTGCAATGATCCCACATAGAGCCTCATGGGACCAGCACTGCCCTTCTGAAGATTATTTGCCATTGCTGCTGCTCTGTTTTTCTCTGCCTAAGGAGAAAAGAAAAATTCACCTTCCATAAGAAATTAATAAAAATTCCTAACATAAGCAGTAGCTAACTATCAGATCAAAACCAGAAGATTCATTAAACAAACAGAAGCTGTTGTATGATCTGCAGTCCATTCATCAGACTTGAACTTAAGAGCTGTGAAACCCAAAACCATGACCAAGTACAGAGAAAGCCTTCAAATGGAACAACTTTATGCAGAATCCAGGCTTCTACCTAGTAAATTACTCTGGAAAGATTACACAACATGTTTTTCAATTTTGTGACACTATTAACAATTTCTTGACTCTTACTTGCTTAAGATGTGTATATTCCTAATACCTTTATAAAACTTTGAATCACTTCAATTTGCCTATTATCCATGGGAAAAACAAGTGCATTTATAACTAGCTTAAATAACCATCCTTGTTAAGGTTTTCCAAACATTCAGCAGTAACCAAATTTTCAAACATTATGTTTCTCGTCAAGATACAAGTGGTGTAACTCAGCATGAACAAAAATGAGGTTTACAATTCCTTACCTGTGACGCCTGTACTATGATTGGTACACCCAGGACTCTCTGTCCAGTCAGTCCTATTGCCAGAGGCACTGAACTAACATCAACAAATTCAACATAAGCAATTCCCTTTGAACGTCTGGAATTTCTATCTGAAATCATTCGTACATCACGAACCTGAAAGGCAAGAATAGAGACAGAAATACTTTTATTAGAGATAAAATACTTTTATTAGAGATAAAGGAAAAAAAAATAATGCAGCCTATTTCTCAGACAGGCATTAATAATGAGAATTATTTCCCAAGCCAAAGACTTTGTAAGCATGCTGAAAATCTACAGCAACATACACCTTTTTTAAACAAACATATCCCAGAGGCAAGCTAGCATTGAAGCTGCTGTTTGAAGTCAAGTATGTGACACAACTTGCAGCACYCTAATGCTCTACACCAGAAGCTTACAGCTGATAGAACAAATTAAGCTTTTCCAACTTAGAAGTTACAGGAATTTCCAAATTATACTGTAAGTGACAAACCATCTGAAAACATGAAAAATGAAGTTRTTTGAGTCAGAATTACAACAAGATGTTTTGCCTCACATCACATGAACAACAAACTACTGAGAAACCACATTTTCATGGTCAAAGCTTAGGTCATCAATTATCTGCCTATGTACAGGTATAGGAAGCTCCAGAAAGCCACATGCTTACAATCATGAAAAATACCAATCCTGTATGCATGTTGGATAGCTTGAGGCAGTATTCAGAATCACTTKAACTTCTCTATGAATTACCTTGCCTACTGTAGAGAAAAATTCTTCCAGGTCTCTTGGTCGAATTCTTGCAGCCAACTGCATGCAAAACACTGTTCGAGCATCCCTCTCTTCAGGGGTAAGATTATCAATAGGTTCTCTGAAAAGAGTAAAGTCCAGTTAAAAAATAAACTGAACAAAGAAAACTCCTCTCTGGACCACCCCYTAAACACTAAATAAGCAGTACTTCACAGTCTGATGGGAAAAAATATGCTTGCTATATTTAAAAAAAAAGGCAGAGTTTAGAACTGAATGGAACACCAAATATTATAACATTATTTACTTTTAAAATGTGGCTGAATACTCATTTCAACTGTGAACATTAAATAAGCCTGGAAAATTCTATTTTATTTACAGAAGCCCAAACTAAGCAGAGGTACCATTTTGCTGCTGTCCAGAACTGGTACCAGGTACCAYGTACCACTATGGAGCTTGTGGTCAAAAAGATGAAAGGACAACAACACAAAGGTGAACAGGGTGAACTAGCACAGAYCAGCTGGCCAAACTCTCGGACAAGTAGTGTGGCTAGGCTTTGCCAACTCATATACCCAGTCACTTTAGAGTCACTACAGCCACTGCATAGAACAATACAAACGTCCATGTAAACAGAACTCCCAATCCTCATATTTTCAGCTTGTTAACACACAAAAAAATACAGTGAATAATTACTTTCATCCTTGACACATCAAGACCTAGAATAATTTAATTTCAATACTGAACCATTAGCTGAAATTTGATGCATCACTTTTAATGCATTAAAGCTTCAAATCTAAATAAATCTAACTTCACTCAAGTACAAGTTACACAAGAATTAGCATGGTGGATCCTGGATTGAGTTTCCAGCCATGTAGTATGTATTTTTATTAATATAATTACATAGACATTAAACAGTGAAAAAACACAAGAAAAACTTATGCTGAATTATCTCAGTAAGGGTTTGCCAGTCATTGGTTAAATTTAACTGAATTAATGTTAGAGAATAATCTCATTAGAAGCTATCTAAATCCTACTCCCTTAAACGAGAAGCCTATGAATGGATAAGCAGCTCCTGGACTGCAGAGGTATATAGCTTCTCTACAAATAGCATGAATACTGAAGAGCAATAGAAGCATTTGTACTTTTCCATTCCACACTCTAGATTATTAAGTACAATTTAGCAGAAAAACTATTGACATCACAATTAATGGGGAAAAGACTGAGAATACAGAAACACAAAAAACCAAACAAGATGAGGAAGCAGTCACACATTATTTCACCACTTTTCCAACTCCAACTGGGCAAAAAGAAACAGACCCAAACATATATGAAAAGTCATACCTAACAGGGCTTTTGTCTTTTCTGAAAGGACTTTTGCTTCTGGAGCGACGTCTGCTAAAAAGAAAGATCAATAAGGTTACAAGAAAACCTTCAAATATACCATCCCTGATTCTAAACAAAATATATTAATGAYGTAATGAAAAATAGAGAAAAGTCAAAAACCTTAATTTGATGCTGTGAGGCAGACCAATCTTCCCTCTAATGGCACTGTTGAATTTTGGACCAGAACTACGGCAAAAGAATAGACAAGCAAGTGAGTATTTGACTTCAAGACTTCTTGTCTCCACTCACATTACACTGCAAGTGCTCACCCACCCTTGAATCTGAACTTGCCAGCATTTCCATCAGCAGCACCCACAGCATGCATAAGATTATCAACAGTTATCAATACATGCAGCACTCCAGACCATAAGGCACAGAAAACGATTTCCTCTCAGTTTCACTAACATCATAAAATCCAAGAATTTGCAAGACTCTTCACGAGCCAGCCAGTAATGGCACATTCCTATGTCCATACTATTTTGAGCTAAAGTTACTGCTGTAACCATTTTTACCTGTTTTTTTGTCCACATCCAAGTTCTACATACTGATGACTGCAAAGCATAACATTTGTGGCCTGGAACKCAGCCTCAGAGCTGTATGCCAACTGGTGCTGGCAGGATTAATTGCTCGAATGYAACATTTTAAAATTGAAAGTTCCATGAAATTTAAGGCGCAAGAGGAAACCAAATTGGCTCCCTGCAGACACCTGTAAGGGACAGGTTCACTAATGATGTCTCAGCTCTCACCACTGAAGTGCTACAAATATGCAAATGAAGCTTCTTTAACGTTCCTAATGGCCATCAAACCACAGAAGCAGTAAGACCAGCAGTTAGCTGCACACAGACACATAACCACAAAAGGAATCCAATCTCTCTGAATCTAACTTAATTTTCCAGGCTTCAAAGACTCTGCTAGAATACACTGTAATCTGCCCTTTGCTTCTACATTAAGGACAGTCCTCTTGCTAGTTAAGGGGGCAGAGAGGAACAGACTGACATGAGCAGTAAGATTCATCCTATCATGTTCTCCCTGAATTTGATTTCCTGGTAGAGAGTTGTTCAAAAGGCAAAGAACAACACCTGTTAACATTCTTCCTGTATCTCCACCAAGCGCAGAGGCACTGCTGCACAGACTGAATGCTGTGCACTGGGCTTTGGCTTTCCATCTGTACACAATTGATTCTTTCTGCTGTGGCTATGAATTGATGTGAAACACCCTGAAAGACATGACAGGCTGAAGACATTAAGTAGTCTTTCACTAAATCCATTTGGCCAGGCAATTTGTCTGAAAAACGTCTTCTTGCTCCCCAGYGGAGCAGTAATGCTTATAGTTAAACTCAGCATCCAACACAAGGAGGAGGATGCCCGTTTTTTAAACATGTCATGACACAGGTGGAAGTAGTTGGCCAAGATCCAAAACCGTGCTGGCCAGGTTAAAGCAAGGGAAATATGGCCCTGTACAACACTGGAAAAAAAAAATAAAGAAAAAAGACCATTTAGAAACTACTTATTAAGAGAAGATAACTACTTATTAAGAGAAAAGACATAAAACACAGGCACATGTTGAGATGAGATCACTATTGATCAAAACCAGATTTTTTTTTTTTTTTTTGCCTAGGATAAATTACTCCATTTCCTGCTCAAGTCCAAACAAATTATTGCTGGGAGTGTTCATTCAGGGTCCTTGTTAACTATGGCACAACTGCCAAAAGCTGCATACKGAAATACTGGTACTAATTCCAAAGGCTAGCTTCTTATTAGACATGGGATTACCTTGCACCTTCACATCTGATGTAAAACATGGTGCACTCCATTTCAATTCAAAAGCAGACAAACAAACCAATTACAATGACTCCAAAATACTAACAGGCAGACCAAGTAAACAATAATAAATAATTAACACCATGAATTTTCAAGGAAATGGTGAAAGAAATAGTGTTTGCCTAAATCTAATGAAAAAAAAAMCAGCCAAAAAMCCAAAACTAACAACTCAGAGCTAACAGTTTTCAAACACATGCACAACTTCTGAAGTGGGGGTAAAAAAAAAAGGAGGTAATAAAAGGTGGGAAAAAACCCACAATCTATCACAACCCCAAAAATCTCCTTTTTCGCTTTTGACTAGTACTATCTTATTTACAGAACTCCATGAGAGCAAAATTAAAAAACCCCAGACCACTGTAACAGACCAAGCAGAAAGCTGCCTGAGGCAAGGTGAGAGCCCAAGTTACTTTCTCCACATGCCTTTGCAACAGTATTCTCCCTGTGTTTTTCTAAGGAGACAYGCTTGTAAACCTGCAGACCTCCAGTAACGTTTCTTCTTTGCTTCCACTGTCTCTACAATGGTTGCCCAATTSCTGCTATCCTGTACTGAAGCCCCTTGTCACAAGCCATTAATCTCTATGTCTAGCAATCACCTTTTTTGTGATTGGCTGTGTGCAGCCAAAGCACATACTTTCACAAAACCTATGTGATGACAAATGGCCCAAACACCAGTGAGGTCAGAAGACAGCCAGCAAATCATCAGCTTTTACCTGCTCATTCATATTCAAGATTCCAACAAAACAGCATCAGACAAGGCAAACTTTGGCTAACAAAGTCCAGGAAAATCACAATGAACTTTCAGCCCTCATGTAATAAACCTGTTTCTAACAGCTTTGTCTAAGTTTTTGGTTTCAGAATAGAAACAGGATGGTCTAAGTTACTTCCATACGTTAGCAGTACCTGAGATTTGACTGACAGGTGTCTAAACAAGACTATTAAGTCAAGTTCTTTCTCCTAAGAGACCTAATGATACAGCTATGTAACATTAAAGGACAACATATGTGAAAATAACATTAGAAAAAAACACCTGTGAACACTAAGCAATGCAAGCCTGTCACCTAAATTAAAAAAATTAAAGCATTTAACCACAATCTCAAGCCTACAGTGACAAACTCCAAGTTTTCAGATTCTCTGCAGCACTCTTACCCTTTTCCTTCAGTATTACCTATACTAAGCTTTTCTCATTATTGCTAAGATGACTCCTAATTGCTCCCAGCAGCAAAACCATCTCAGTTTACAGATASCAGTTTGAAAAGGAGCCTTTATAAAACCAATGAGAAAGATCACAAGGAGGAAGAAGAGTAAAAAGTAAGATAAAATAGAAGCCCTAAAGCATTTTGATCTAGATGCCTCAGTCAGCTACCACCCTGTCCAGTAACTTCAACCCAGAACTACCTGAACAGCCTCACAAGGAGAGATTACGGAAATAAATTCTCCAGCCATCAGGAGTACTATGGCAGTCAMTTCTGAAACACTGAGCTCATGGTTCTGATACACAGAAGACTTCATCAAGTCGAAGTCCAGTTCTGGCAGATCCAAAGGTGGCTGATGATGTGGGAGGCTTCATCTCCAAAGCTTTTATCTCCCTCAAATTCARCACCTGCTATACAGATTTAAAGGTCGCCGCATTTGAAGAGCCCCAAAATGGGAAATGAAATGCTCTCCACAATCGCATCTTCTGAGATCTTTCTCTTTCACACCTTTTGAGACAAAGCTAGAATTTTGGAATCATATTAGCATATCTATCACTTYAACAGGACCATCCATCATCTACAACTGAATGACAGCAACTCTGTCTTGACTGCCAACAGTCAAGACGAAAGCTTCTGGGACACATGTGCTTGCCCTATACCGGTCTTCCACTAAACCATCTAAAACCACCAGAATCCTGCTTGGTTAAACGAAWGCAACAATTTGGCAACTGAAGCAGAGAACAAACTATCAAACAAATAAGCACAACCATGTATCCTCAGAGGATACTAGATTATCTGTGCTTTTTTTTCACTGCCTCTCAACACCAGAGAAATCACCCACAACAGCTATAGAAGAATGTCAGGATAGCAAAAAAGACTCCTCGCAACCATTTACTTTTCTGGCATAACATATCTCATGAGGTACATTAAAAACAGGCATGGGTTATTGCAGTAGCATCAATACTTTTAACCTCTACTTGAGAAAATTATTTTGCAAGACTAGAACATTGGAACTCCCAAATTTCGCCAGATGAAAAACTTCACCCAGTGACAGCAAGAAACACAAAGAACAAAACCSTCCAACACAGCTGGGAGAATGCAGCAACTCCCATGATGTGACAAAGGACACCCTCTCCACACAACACTGCACTGGAAATGAGGACACCAGCAGGCAAAATATACAGAAAGCTGAAGTTTTTGATCAAGGTYSTCTGTATCTTGAGCCACAACAGTGGCACTGGCATAATCCAACTAGTTACTGTAATCRTACAGGTGCCAAAGAGTTAAGAAAACAAGCCAACTCTGCACTCTTGAAATCTTCACAGCTGAAGCCTAGAGCAGTGTACAGAGGCACTGATACTCAAAGGAATAGCAGGRTTGATGTATTATGATCTCTGTGTACATAGGACTGATGACACACAGAATGCCACTGCACCTTGGAAGACACAGGAATTGCAGTAGGTTTTCATTACCTACTTAATGAAAAATGGCAGCATCCAGGTGACTTAGCACAAGTGAGACCTTGAGACCTCASGAAGTTCTGTTTGTAATCCAAGAGTACAAAACGTCCCAAGAAAAACATTCATGTGTATAAAATTGCACAAGCCTACAATTTATCAGAAGGTAAGCAYTGTTCAAACATCCTGAGAGATTTCTCCATCACGGAGGACATTACATGTCATATTTTAAAAAATACACCCTTTTCAAATGCCTTCTTTTTACATGATCTTGCACTCCAAGATTTCACAGTAGTTGAGATGAGACCCGGACGAGAGCAGAGACAAAGAGTAGCCTAGGTAATCAATGACAGTCAAGTATACATGCCAGTTCTCACTGTTTCTGCAGAAAGAGGCAATGGGAACCAAAAGGGAGAGTGGCAGTACAAACCATCAGAAACTATACTGATGCAAAAGTATCTTTTGAGAACTGATTTACAAATGGCTGGAACTACCTATTGCTGAAGTTCTATCAAGCAAAATATCTGAGAGAAATGAAAGAATTCTTGTCAGCCTCTAAACAAATCTGAAAAAAGCAGGGCAAATATGCAACACATGGGCATTGTAAGACAAGATGTTTCCAGTTCAGATGCATAAACATGAGATTTGTTTGCATGAATATTCATCTATGGAGTTTAATGTTTAAGAACATCAAGACAGTAAAAATCTTTAGTAATTAAAAAAAAGGGTTTATGAGACTGTAACAAAAGTTACAGACTACTATTAATATTTTTACACTTAAACCAACAAGTTCATATACTTAAGATACTTAGGACATGGAGAGAATTTGCTTACTATACTGATTTTGTGATAAACTTCGTTTTCCAGTTAGCTATACACATTCTTTCATTTACCCTTTCACCTCTGTGTTTGACTAAGAATGAAAACTAGTAGAGGACTATTACTGTCCTCTTCTTTTTCATTCTGTATTTATTGACATTCTTCAAACTTAACCCCTCATCTTTTTTTCCAAGATAATTACTGACCAATTCAGAAAGCAGAGAGTGAAACTTTAACCTTCTACATTGTAACACTGAAGCAGCACCACATGCAACCTAAAATAAATAACCTACTAGGGACTTCTATAGCGGCCTCTGAATCTGCGATCTCTRCTCCTAGACCGGCTGCGTCTTCGTTCTTTGCTTCTGCTCCTTTTCCTTTCCCGACTTCTGCTCTTTTTCCGTTCCCGATCTCGGCTCCGTTTGCGTTCCTTACTTCTGCTCCTCTTTCTGTCATGGCTTCGACTTCGACTCTTGCTCTTTTTTCTCCTGACAAAAAAAAAGTGCATGTGTAGCTCAGTATTCTTTACCCCACATTTCACAGTTCCTCTAGCCTCATGTCACAGAGATTGACAGGAAAAGTTTCTACTTTTTGTTAAATGGGTGGTTAAGCCTGTCAGCAAACATCTATCATGGGCCACATAAAGTCTGCAACAGCATATTTTAATTTACAATTTTTTAATTGATAGGGAATGCTTTCAGGAAAGGATTGAAATAAYATTTCTTGTGTTTAGACCTAGTACACACCTAGTGCAGTACTTCATGTGGCGTTCAAACATACTTGAAMCACAGTATCATGATTCTAAGAATAAATTTTATAACAAAGTAAAGCAAAGCACAACAAAAATAGAAAAGGCAAGTCTGGGGGAAAGAAAGGTTGTTTCCTCTTAATACTCCATGCTAACCATATAACATGCTGCTTCAGTTTAGTTTCTTTCCTACCTGCTATTCCCATTTATAAGCCACTTGCTTTTTAAAGTCTACGGYTGTTACAGATTTTGGGGCAAATTGCAGATTTTTGTGACTTTACCCACTTACTTAGAAAATTGATCTTCTAAAATCTGTATGTCAACTATACCTCATATTTGAAAAATAGTGAGCAACTGTTCCATTAGTGCATTTGGGTTATTCACAACTTTTTTTTCTCTATCTCAGCCTCAGACCACTGAAAATTAGTCTCCTAGTTTCTAAAATATATCTGTATTTATACACAATACACACATTAACAGGATGCTCAAGCCATTGCTTAAGATAGCAAAATAATCAACATTGCTGCTAGACTTTTATAGTTTGAAACATCCTCTGTTACTGAATTTTCCCTCTTCCTCCTTTTGGACCTTCTGATTGCATACATCATCTTTTTTCAAAATGGTCAATCATAGTCTTAAACACTCTTTGAAAAGGGCATGTGGATTACCAAAAGTTCATCCCTGTGGTCTTCTATGGCCATATATCAAACTAAAACTTCTAGTTAGTTTCAACTTCTGAAGTAAAAAAATCTMTCACCTACCATATCTAACTGAGCCCAATCATTACTAATAGCTTTTGCTCTTTAACCTACAGCTAAGAAGACCCATCCAAACTCTGTAGTTGTCTCTGAAGACAAATAGCTTGAATTATGTTTTAAATACTAGAATGTTTCCTCTTTTTTCCTTATCTGCCATAGTCCATTAGTTTCTTCGATATTTTTGCATGGTCAGAGAGGCTACTGCATCAAAACCTGATATTCAGAAGCTTCACTATTTTTGATAATTCTGTATTTCTGGGTGGTACCATCTTACCAGCATCACTTAACCACACTTCCTGCTCYAATGCAGTTTGTGATGGTTAGGCACAGTGTCCCTTTCCTGTAGGATCCAGCACTTATCAACACTTYCCCAAGTTAAAACCCTAAAACACTCACCATTAAAACAGCTCTGAAAARCACTCCCTGGAGCTCACTGTACTGGCCAGTACCAGTAACTAGTAACTGCAGCCACTTTTCATSAATGACAGCAGCTATTCCCTATCCAATAGACTGCTGAACCTGCTTTCAGGCAAAGACTCCCAGCAGTCCAGATCTTTGCTCTATCTTCAAATCATGATTGAGCCGGACATACAGTACAGACATCTAGTAAAACTGCAGATCCTTAATCCTTCCAATTAATAAAATGAACATTTAAGCATGATTTGACAGTTACTGAAAGCTGCACATTGTTATTTTTTAAAGTTGCTGATGTTTGCTGTGGATGTTCCTGACAGTTTGAGTCTTATTCCAGTATTTGCCCAGCTGAAGTAGATAAAGAATATTATCTGGACACAATTTGATGGTTTTAATCAAATCAAGAAGTCCTGCAAACCTTATATATACACCTTTGTCGTCAGCAACAGAATACATTGTCATACATCACAAACAAAACAGCATAATTTGTTTTTTGAAGATTATGGGGARCAAGAGGTGTATCAAAATGAACCTCTAAGGCTCAAAAATATTAACAGCAGCTCGTTTTGATAGGGTTTTAGAGGCCTCAGTATTTAGCATGAAAATTAYTTTCACACTATTGTTTAGAACACAAGTAAAAGGTATAATCAATTTTAGATAATTTGATTTCAACCCTAGTCTGATCTTGGAATGGGATTTCTAATTTCCCAAGTATTTCTACACCTGAGAAAAAGTTTTCTTTAAAGACTTCCAGTACTGTCACCTGTATGATTTCAGAACTGAAAACAGCATACATGCTGACTTCAGAGTTTTTCTGTAATACACACCTAAATTGTTACTATTTAGTCAACTATCAATTTTGTAATTGTTCTTTTTACATCAATTATCTCTTCACCAAATGATGCTTGTAAGGTAARGAATTCCTTTAACAGACTTAAAAGCCTTTTGGTCATCAGCAGATGCTCACACCCTAGAATTATGCTTGCTGAAGAAGGTGGGCTTATACTCTGTTTTTTGAAAAAGGTTTATTATAAATTTAAAAGTTTTCAAAAGGCAGGGATCTGGAGAATTGAGCAGATGATTCAACACCCTGAACCTTTTTAAGAAAGCACTGGTGTCTTCACTGCTTTCAACCACTCCAAATCACAGTTCTGCAATAAATACATTTTTAAGTGCAAAATCTTTTACACAGTTAAAATAACAACTTAAAACATGCTGAACATACAATGTCTGTATTCTTMTCTGAGGCTAAGTAAATGTCTCCACAATTTTAATTATATCAGTTACATCAGTTTGCAAAGGGTATTAACTACATTTGTAAACAAAATTTCCAAATTGCTGCAATTGCAAATACCAAACTTTTTCAATTTATTTCACTGAACACTACCGACACGGATTCACAAGTCCACGAAAATCAGCAGCCTCTCCCCAAATRTAGAGAAGTGAGAAAGTACTTACTTCTTGCTGCGTTCTTCATGGCCATTGGCACTGCTCAATTTGTTCTCATCCTAAGCAGGGTTGATAGAAGAACATCGTGAGGACGAAGCGGAAATATTTCAAGTGGTCAAAGGGTAATGGGAATAGGAATAAGAAAATAAAAAACAAAAATTTTAATACTAAATTACTTGTTTACAGTTTAATATGGAAAGCTTTAGAAAATGTAGGTAGACATGTTTAATCACTTTGCTGCTTAAATTTAAGTCATACAATTACAAAATACAAGACTTACATCATTTAAAAGTGTGTATTAAATTGTAGATACTTCCTTACATGGTTTAGAGAGCAAGTTATCCTGCAGAATTCAGCACTCACGTGGCTAAATTTTATTTCTATAAAATTTAAGAGGAAGTTTGGGGTGTTCGTGAACCCCTCTGATTAGTACCAAGGTTATATATCTGCCTAAGCCCCGTGGCTACACTAGCAGCCAGCCACTATGGATTTCCTGTGACCGATGCCATTCCCGAGATCTTCACTCATTTTCGTTGAAGGGTTGTAAGAGCTTGATGTCACCTCTGTCACACATCTCGCCCTGAAGCAAACAGGGATTCACACTGCTTTAGTAACGTCGAGTCCCAAGAAAGCCATCAAAAATCCACCAGTCCAGCCTAAACATTCCCTATTTCCATACCTGTTTACATGGAAAATATCCATGTTAAGCCAGGACACAAGAATTTTAACATAACAGTTTACAAATTTCTCTTCAAGAAGTAAACATAAATGCTAAATATTACACAAACTAAATATACGACTTAAAACTTACAAATGCTCATCCAAAATTCATTACATGGTTATAATAAACACTGCACAATAGACTAACAATAGCTGCTATATAACTTATATACTAGCTTTACAGTTTAATCACATTGGTTACATCAAAAGTACAATTCCTAAATGACTTAAACTTATAAYGTATATACATTTATTTCAAAACCAGTGCTAAAGCATGCAGTCTGTTAACACTTCACCACCATCTGGYGGAAAACAAAAAAAGACAGTATTCATTTGCTGCTGGTTTAAGTGAAAGACATCACTAAGTTAATTGATACAAATTTCACACAAAAATTGACATTTCCTAATTAAACRACTAGGACAGAAGAATACAATAGCTCATTTTAGAATGACACTGCAGACTGTGATACTGTCTTTTACTTGCTAAGAACATTCTATTCAGGGATCCAAGAATTTCCGTAAATTCGTTCACTCAGCAATTGATTTTCATCTGCCCTGTTGAAAGATTAACCGCCAGCAGCCTCCTGCATTAAAAGCAAGTCCCACTCTTCTTGCACTGAGCAGACTGTTCAAATATTTACTTGCCATGGGACTGGTGAAAAAGTTATTCTTGGAACCCTGCTGTTTTCCCAAATCACTGCATTCACCTTGTTGCTATACCAAACTAGACCTTGCAATTTTAGAGGAAAGGTTTTAGGGGTTTTGTTTCTGGGGTTTGTTTTGGTTTTATTTTGGTTTTCTTTGGTTGGYTTTTACAGGAGTTTTTGTTTTGATCGTGTTTGGTGTTGTTTTTTTTAAACCTAGGGGACCACGGTACAGCGATACGTCACTCAATTACTACCTTATGATTGACAGTTCACACTGGAATCAAAGGTGAATTCATGGGAGTAGAGGTGAGATATCGTTAGGCAAGTCTACAAAGAGAGATAGATGGGCATTTATTCATCACGCTGAAGTGAAACTACTGCACAATATAATTACATTAACAGTATATATTAACTTGAAAGTTACATGTAATGCACGTCCAATAAGATAAATCATGAGGGCTCCAGGGATGTTAGTTTACAGTTCAGCAGTAGTTTCATGAATAATGCTAAATTAAGGTAAACAGGATGTCACTGGCATTTTTTTTTCTCACCTTCTTATAAGGAGCTTCGAGCATTGCTTCAATATCAATATCATCAGCCATTTTTCAGGGCACCTGAAAGAAGAAACAAATTCCCCCTGAGCTGGAAAAGATTCTTCCACTTAACATTCCAAAAGCTTTTGCTTAAGAGGTCATTGCTGCATTGGCTCAAATTCACAAAGCAGACAGKTCCAACAAAAACTGAAATGAAGCTTTGCCCAGTGAGGTTATAAAGAATGTGTGCACACTAACTACAGCTGCAAAAAACAMGTGTGATTGAACACCATCAGCCAGAGGAAACTCCAGAGGTACTCCACCAATTCCTTTCAAAACAAAGAGTATGGCACATTTATGACACAGAAACACGGCTCTGGTGGCCATCTTGAGAAGTGCTACAGCTTCGCCTAAGGACGATGGACAATGAACAGTCAGGCAAACACGTTTACAGCTCCTAGCCTTTGCCACCATCACTTTCCATGCTCAGGATGTGGACACTGGGATGCTTTGAGAAATGCAGCCTCCTGTGTAACAGGGGCCCCAGGAAAACAGTTATGATGCCAGCACTAAGAGCTACTAAAGCATACACGAAGTCCATCCAGTCTGGAACTTCATGTTTCTGACAAAAAAAATTCACCATACCAGGTAACACTTGACAGTAGAAACATTTTGGGTTTAAGTGCTCCTCTTATTTTCCAGTTTCAACCCCTTAATATRATTTTATGTTCACTATACTCTGAATCACTTTGACACTTCATTTCCTTTCCCTATGCAGGTACGCTATTAAGTACCCCTCAAGACTCTTGGCATTAAAGTATAGATAGAGGGCAAAGTTCCTCAAATTTCTTAGAGAAAGCTTTTCTTCTTTCTTAAGTTCAAGAATGGCCAGTCCTCTAGATCCAAGTCTGAGAGCCCAACAGWGAAGATTTCCCTGCATGTGCCCAATAAAATGGATTTTTAACCATACAGGCTAATTCCTGCACCTTGTCTACTGGCACTGTTGCAGGAACTGTGCTGTCCCCAGACTTGGGCGGAATAATGMAATTGCTCCAACATGTCAAGATCCTTTAAACTGGTCACTTATAACGMTGTAATTGAGAACGGTTTACCAGARCTGCAGCACATCTCATTCTGGCCCAGGAATACATCCCRGAATAAAATACAGTCCTCAAGCAGGATCACAACATTGGAGGTTCACACTCAATAACTTAACTTAGGCACACTAACCTAATTTTCAAGTTATTACCTGTTGGGCTATAGTGCTATCACTTACAGGTAAAATCATCCCTCGTTTAAGTGTAATAGCTCTATTTTACTACAGCATTTATATTCAGCTTTTCAAACCATCTACATAYATGCATGTGATTTAATTCACTGCTGTTCTACCAGTATTTACTGCAAATTGTACATCAGTATGATTAAGGGCCATGAAAAAGTCAAACCCAGAATGCTACAAAAAATTCCCACTGGTGACAACTCCCACCCAAAACTAGAGTTTTAAATGTGTAACTTAGCCAACATATCCAGCTACACTTGGGGAGGAATTCTTCATCCTGAAGAGGGGTGGTCATAWTATGCACCATCAAATCCTCAAYGGCATGATAAAGTGCAGAGGGAATAACTATTACAGCATTCTCCTAAACAATGAGTAAATGAACTATCATCCAGTGAGTTCAAAACAATGGTCCTTATTGACGAAGCATTTAGCCATTTAATTCACTTTTGAAGAGCACCGTGAATCATAACAAAGAAAAAGCACAAGCAGTGTTTAGAAACCCCCCCAAAACCCGTAAAAGTTTACAGAAAATGCTTTTCATTACGCAAAGACATGCCTTGTGACCCTGAACTACAACTAACTGACAACTAAGCACACACAGAACTGCCACTGTATGACTGCCCTGTTCCCATTCTTTGGCATTTAATGCTGGCCACCACCACTGACAATCGCCTGAGCTCCATGGGCCTTTGGCCTCACCCCACCCCTTTGTACTCTTTATAAAACACTTCCACTGCGACAATATCATGTAATCAGAGTACCTACTGTCTACAAAGCACAGTCCTGTTATCGGCCCTGCAAYGTGTGTAATGCATATAGTGATGCTACATATAAAGCAGAAAGTATTTCTTTTTAAAAATCAAAATAAAAATTTATATTAATCTCAAATGAYTCGAAAATCCTGACAGGTTTTCAAATATTTCTCACTAAACATTTAAGCTTAAAATAACTTCCCTAAGAGTCTTTCAGCTTGCTCAAAAAGCCTACATATGACTAACTTGTTTGTAGAGGGGAAAAAAATAATAAAAACTACCCAAACAAGCAAACAAAAACACCACCAAAAAAACCCTCCCAAACCATCAAAACAAACAAGGAATRAACTACACCGTAAACGGACATGACATTTACTGCAACTGAGCTAGTCGCTATTTTTTAGGAAAACACTCTTTTTTTTATGTTGTACAACATAATATAAAAGGAATTTAAAAGGGTTCCGTTCCCAAGATTTTTTGTTTTAGAAATCCAATGAATGACAATTCACKTTTTGCATGYAGCGTCCTAGAAAAGCATCAGGAAACTTCAGGGAGGATTCCGACGCCTGGTGGGGGGAGCCCGCTTCTCATCAAGAAGCTGTCTGCGCCAAATCCCCAGCCAGAATTTCCGCACGCTCCTGACACGAYCGAAAGGAGCGAATTCCACTTCCCAGACACAGCGATGCCCAGCGTCGCCCTGCCCCGCCGCAGCTGCCGTCCCACTTGGCCCCTTGCAAAGGCCTTCACTCCCCGCCCGCCGCGGCGGCCAGCGCTCCCTCACCTCCGCCACACCCCGCCCAGTGTCAGCACCAACAGGCCCGCGGCCGCTCCGGCCCGGTCCCCTGCACAGCGCCATCGCGGGAACACAGGGAGGGCCGCGGGGAGGGAAGGGGGGGAGGTGAGGGGGACCGAGGCGGGGCAACGCAACGCCACGCCGAAGGTGGCCAGGCCTGCCCGCGATGTGGCCACGGCAACAACCGAACCGCACAGCGTCAGGCAGCGGGCGAGGAGCTCCGGGTGCGTTGGCCCCGSTGAGGCGCAGAGCGGCCCCGCGAGCAGGGCCGGGGCGGCCGTGGCGGCGTGAGGGGCGCAGRCGCCCGGGCCGCGGCACCCCGCGGTGGTCAGGCCGCTGCTCGCCCGGCGGCGGGACCGGGGTCCACCCACAGTTACCTGCGCCGCGGGCAGTGCGATCCTCTCCACAGGCCCGAGGTCCGGCAGTGGCGGCTCCGGCGTCACTGCGCTGGCGGTGGGGAATGGGCCCGAGGGCTCAAGCACCCTCTCCAGRCGTCTGAACCTTAAATGTACGGCAGCGCTCAAGCGGCCCCAGGGAACGGGCGGCGAGAAGCGGCGCAGCCGTGAGTGGGTCCCGGTACCGGTCTGGCCCCGTCAATATCTCCGCGGCTGCTCCTGAAATGGCGCCCGGCCGCTCGCGGCTCCGCGCACGGCACGGGGGCGTCCAGCGCACCGCGCAGGGGCTCTCGCGAGACGCACGGCCAAACAAGGCCCTGCCCGCTCAGGCTCGCCGCCTCTCGCGAGACATCGCGCCCGGAAGCAGTGGCTCAAATGCTCGCGAGACTTGGGTGGACGGTGGACTGTCACCCGCCCGTTCGCTCTCGCGAGATCTTGGGCGACCCCGGCGCCTGCGGGCGGGCCCGAGGGGCGGGCGGGCCGAGGCTGAGGCTGAGGGCGCCATCGTGAGGGTGTGGCTGCCTTCAGGGATCACAGGCCGCCGCCGCCGCTGCCGTGCTCCCGCGGCGCGGGTATCTGCGGACTTGTGGTACTTCGATGTGTTCGGAGCACCCGTTCCTTTCCTGGTTTTGGAAGAGGCGTGTMCCAGATCCTGCAGGACTTTCTGAGCCCCACGCTGGGGCTTTATCATAGATTCTTTTTTCCAGCAAAGTAGGTTAGGTTATGGATTAGGCAGGASGGTGGATTTTCTGTGTTCCTTCACCAGAGATTGTGCTGACGTGATGATTTAATAGGGTCTGTGGTCTGATATTCCTCCCTCTGGCTGACGGCTTGATGTTGTTCAGTCAGATTAACAATGTYTAAACGTGTTCGGCCGTATCCTTCTCCCATCATGGGCCAGCAGCGTCCTGCAGATTTTTTAGCCACTTCAATCCGAAGTAAAACAATCTGTCCATGACCTGCCATTCTGGTGCAGYTTTTGGCCCCAGCCACTGTGGTTGCTGGAGCCTTGAAACTGCATGTTTTAACTCAGAAGCTAAGTCGTGTTTTGTGAAACACTCCCCTCTTGTCTCATTAACAGTCCTTTATTTCCCTCAGAGCTCACAGCATGGCTTATTTGTATTTAAATTTAATAATACACAGTAAATTTTGGACAATTGTTCAAGGTAGAGCAGATAATATTAAGTGGGTTTCCTACCGGCATCAGTATGAGATAAGCAATTGTTGCTGAAGAGTTTTAAGTTACTTCTTTTTTTGTTTGACAAATCTGAAACAATGTAAAGAGAAATTCTAAACAACCTTTGCCTCCTGAGATGACTTTTTTTCTGAAAATCCCAGGCTACTGTGTCATTTAATGTAATTTCTAACAAAGTTCCTGTAATGTTAATAGCACTAGATGGTCCTGGGGCCCTTGCCCAGAATGTCCAAATCTTTCTAAGTTGCAGTGGTCAACTAGTAGACTTTGGAACATTTAGGAACAATTATCTGCTTAAAAAATAAAAACAAAGCATGACTCTAACCGGGTTTTTTCCTAATAATCTAACCTAATAATTTCTGTACAGGTTGGTTATAAACAAAATCAATAATCTTCTCACAGACAAAATKAGGTTTATTGTATTTGTTCCCATGCACTGCTCTGGCTGCCTGTCCCTCATCCCTTGGCTTCCAGTCAGCCACCAGGTCTGGTCTAACCGGGTCCATGTTCCCTGTTCCCTCAYCTTGTGACTGTGAGTGAACTATGTGCTTAGGCTCATCTTGGTGAATTTACCTAAGGTTTTTCTCTCCCACCATTTGCATGTGGAGCCAGGTTCTGGAAGGAGTACACAGACATGTTTTTTTTTTTTTGTCTACCCCACTAACACACCCCTTGCCCTTGGCTGGTGCTCAGGYAGTGGTGTGGAGGAAAGCATACACCCCCACACTTCCCATCCTCATAGAYCGGGTAAAGGTGGCTAACGAGGGGTCTGGAGTAGCACACAGCGGCACAAGCTGCGTGTCCAGCCCTGTTACCAGACCCGGTGTACCCAAGCACTGCCCTCATCGGTCGGCTGCCGATGCTCAGCTCCGCAGGGCTGCTGGTGCGGTCACTACACACTTTAGCTGGACTCACCTCTGATGCTGAGGGAAGCTCTCGGTAATACATTTCCTAAAAAAAGTTTTCCTATTTGTAGGATGGCTTGATCTGGTGGAGAGATTGGCTTTCCAGTGGTGGGGCATAACTCCGGCTATCGCTGGTGCTCTTTCCTCACACTTGGCTCTGTACGCGCGGCAGGGCGCTCGTTTGCATAAAGAGCSAGAGCTTGAGGGGGGGAGTTGCTCGCGTTAYCCGCGCTGCGAGGGGTAGAAGGGAYRGCGCAGAATTAACAGCTAAAGAGGCACGTAGGAAAACGAAACAAAAATTYCCACCTTCCCACACCGGGAGTCGAACCCGGGCCGCCTGGGTGAAAACCAGGAATCCTAACCGCTAGACCATGTGGGATTGCGCGACTCAGAGTTTTCTCTGCGCCGCGTGCTTCCTACACTGGTTCCCTCTCGCCCCGCCTGCTTCCCCTCCTGTCTGCACCGCCTGCCYGCACCCGCTGCTCACCGTTTGCTCTGCTGCCCAATGACCACCGGTCACTGCTCTCTGACCTCCACCCGTACCGTTGGTCAGGAGCAGGGAGTGCGGTGAGGGGTGCAGGGGCCGCTCCCTCACTTTGTTAAAGGGCAGTTGTTGGAAGCTGACAAAACTGAAGAAGTAGGAAATGACCAATGGTAAGATGAGCAAATGAAGTCCGGCCTAAAAAGGCACAGAAACTTAGTAACAGCGACCAATCGTGCTCCTATACAAATTCGAGTGATCACAAAAGCAGGCAGAACAACTACAGTACCCAGTTTTGACTGAGAAGACCCTTATCAGACAAGGGTACAAGGCAGGTAAGAGGTGGGACACTGCAGTAGCTGCCCGTGGATGTGCAGGAGTAACTCACCATTGAGCATGTGGAGGAGTGATGCTGGATGTTGTAAAAACTTCAGAACCAATGTGCCTGAATTATTTTAATCTTCCAAGATGTAACACTGACCCCTACATGTGGAAAATTCACACCTAAATAGGCAAAGGGGAGAAGCAGGACTATTGCAGTGAACAGACTTTAAAACCAATGGTGGTGACAACGATATAGTTCAGAAGTCAGAGTGGCTACCAAGGCAGAAAACATCATTATGAAAAGTCTCCAATTAMCCCCACACCAAGTGGGTAAATGTCACATCAGCATATTATGTGGTTGTTACATTTAGAAACCACAAAGGCTTGATTTTTGGAGCAATTGGTTGGAGAATATAAAACAAACAACTGTGTTTAAAGCTGAGTTGTTTGAGAGGCTATTAAAAAAGGCATTAAAAAAGTCAGTGAGTATAATGTATTAAAACTGGTGACACTGAAAGAACAACGTCAAAGAAATTCCTCCCTCAATAACTTATTTAAAAATTAATAAACTGAAAGGATAACATGGTTAGAAGAAGCATGGARATTCTATAATGCCTCAGAACAGTTGTATCACTACAAAGAAAAAGCAGTGGTCACAAAGCACTGTAAAAAAGGCTATTGAAATATTAAATTAAAGATAAAATATTCTTCAAAATGTGAAGGTGGTGTAGACCATGTCCATATGCCAGCAGAGAAAATCCTGAATAGGTTACAAGCTATCAAATGAATCTTACAATAACTACACAAGGTAGATTTGAGAAGATTGTGTWTCCTCACATGGATCCCAGCTGCAGCCCACTGACCTCCATCAAGTGGCTAAAGACATGGGCAGAGACTGGCTGACAGCCAGAGGACCCAGCATTTTTGGCAGGTGATGATTGTAGTCCATCTCTGACATGAGGGGCAATTTGCTCCCCCGGACTTGACACCACTGGTGGAGAGATTAGAACTTCTTCCATGCATCAACCTGCCAGTCCTCAGCTTCTCCTCTAGTTTTAGCACTGGGTGACACTATGTCTCATTCCAGAAGGCCTGGTGAGATGTCAATAGGAGCAGCAGTGCCACCGTCTACARCCTCCACTTCTGCTTGACTAGGAATTGCATGTGAGGAAAGGGCGAAGGTTTCCCTTTGTCAACCATTCCTGGAGATCAGGATCTGGGGGAGGCAGAACTTTGGCTTYATTCCAACTGACCATGCTCATGCTGTTATCTCACCTGCCTCTGAAGCTGTTCACAGGGCCCCAAAAGTACTAACAAGCCCTTAGGCCAACCACAGTTGGGATTTGCATCCCAGCCCTGTTCAGGAGCCCCCAGTTCAGGTCAGCCCTGGATCCCCAGTGTCCATCTGAGCTGTATTGAGGTGTGCTTGTCTCCAGTACTCTCACCAGTGTGCCCATGCCCATGGCCATACCCAGCCCTGGGTCTCTCTCACACTGACCTGCAGATTGCCTGCCTGACCTGACCTCATTTCTGCCTTGTCACCACAGACCTATCATGGGTTGGGTCTGTCCCTGGTCACCGTCACAGGCCTCATCCTGACCCCAACCTGCAGACTGACTTTCCAGGATTGTCCTCAGACCTACCTCATGCCCATGAGCTGCTCCAGGCCACTGACCACAGCCTCCTGCAGATGTGGTATTCTCAGGGACTGCCTGTGGGTTGCATGTGGTGATMCCCTGAGACACTGCTCAGGTGTAATCCCAAGTGTTTTCCCTCTCCTCTAGCAGCAACTATTTACAATGARCACCCTCAGAGCTACATGGACAGAGATGCACAAGTTCAAGCTGTCAGCACCCAGCCTGATTGCATAGCACTCAAAATACCAGAACCTCTTTGTTGAGTTGATTTGCTTAGTAGATCTCCAAGATGTTAAAAAAAAAAAAAAAAAAAAAAAAAAAAAAAAAAAAAAAAAAAAAAAAAAAACCCTAGCAAAGAACTGCTTTCAAAGGGGTTTGCCTAAAGCTGAATACCTGGATGCTGAGAGGAACCCAGGCTGCCTGATCCAGTCAGTACAGCACAGGGAACATTGAGCATTGCATTGCTGGCAAACACAGGTTTGGAAACTTCACTTTCCRCTGCAGTTATGTGGTAGAACAAAGAACTTGCTGTTGCTCCCACTGAGTTCAGCATGAACATGGTGGTCCTTGAACCCTTGACTATATAAGAAAGGATAACAGATAAAGAGTTATAACCCACTTCTAGTACTCATTATAGGATTTCTGTTTTCAGTATGTACTAGCAAGCAGGTGGTGTGCAAGCAGAGCTCAAGACAATACATGATAGCAAAAGGGATTGAATTTTTAAAAATGAAACCTGT